CGGGTAAGTATTAATTTCACTGGTTTGGAAGCACATATATATACGGAGTGATTCGTGAATCATAAGCCACTCGATTACTCGTAAAATAATAATAATTTTGAAAATTGTTTTTTGTATTTTTCAATTACATATAATTTTTTATCTATCCACCATTATGTATTTTTTTGGTTCTTCCCTTATGTGTTAGAAGGTTTTTTTTTGGAAACATACATATTTAACTATCGTATAAAATAAACTAATTTGTAAAACACTGGTCCAAAAGATGTTATCGACCTGTCATTTTCTCATTTACATTATTTTCTATTTTATAAGCTTTCAAAATATTTTCATTGAAAAAAATGTTGATACACCTATAACTCATAAGGTATGAACTAAAAAAATATTTATTAATGAATAAATCGAAAATTTTATATAACCGAAATATACAAAATACACAATTTTCAAAGTTATCAGAATTTTACGAGTGGTTCATGATTTACGGATTACTCTGTAAATTTATATTAGACCGGATAGTTGAATATTATTGAACGCGCAGCTGTAATTAGTAATTACACAAACGTCGACGGACCGATTAGAACGATTTAATTATAATAATTAGACTACTAAACAACGATGTAATCGAGATTAATCTATTCAAACACAAATGCGTTCTTATGGACAAATACAATGTAAAAAGATAAAATCCGTACTCGTTTTTTTTTTCAGCACACTCCGAAACAGTTACGAGCCATGAGTGTTATGAAATATTTTATGAATTGAAAAACGGTAGAATAGAGAACAATGATAAACAGAGTAGAGGTAACTGTATGTATATATTTGAGTGAAGATGGACAAGTATACGCACACGATTGTCACGCTTCCGCGCAAATTACATACGAGCTATGATGTTAATGTATTTTAATATTATATATGTAAAAAGCGTTACACCTAAATCCAGTAAGTTTAATTGTTATGAAAATTTCTTGAATAATTACAATAGTATAATTCGCTTAGTCAGCACAATGTATGCGGTCACATTCAACATAATTATTTCGGAATACGTTATATTTTTTATAGTGAAGTCGAGAGAAGCGCTGTGTTAATAGAGAATAACTATTTTTATTGGAAATAAATAGTTTTTTTCTATAAAATACCAAGTCAACAAATTTAATTTTAAACGCGCATTAAAAAAATATAGTACTAAAATAAAGTGTGATTATGTTAAACGTTTTATGAAACAAGAAAATAATTTTTCAGGAAATACAAATAAAATTAAACAGGTGCCATATAAAGCCATAGATCAGGTGCATCGATAAACCAATTTTTTTACGAAAAAGAATCAATTCCGATACTTGAAAAACAAATAAGATTGTTGCCCTGGACCTATAGAACATAAATCAGGAATAAAACAAATTTTTATTCTTTGATATTTAGAATGTTTGACACATTCATACTTTAAATGTGCCTGATGTACGTCTATATTGCAATAGCACATAATATATTAATACATTAAAATTAATTTTATATTAAAATAATTGAACTATATTAATTTTTAGAAATCGTCATGATCTATACTTAGAAAAAATAATTAAAAATATATGTGTTTATATACATATAGATATATTAAACTAAATTTAAGTATTTCAAGCCTCTAAACTTTAATGGACTAAAATACTCATCATTTTTTTTTTTTTGTATCAAATATTTGACTTTTTTTGCAATAAAAAACTTAAGTTTGCCAAATACAAATTTCCAAGAATAGAAAAGAGTAAAAGTCATTATTTCATGAATTGGCTAACAGAAATAAAAATGAATTAGTTGATAAATTTAAAAGCGATTAACCGAGTGGTAACTGAAAAAATGTAAATTGAGTTTTACATGTTATATTAAGTCATTATAATTTTTAAATATAGGGAAGAGGAGTACGTAACATAGTAGTATTCTTATCTGTGCGATATAATAAAAATAGAGTATGGCTCTGTTCCTCATCATATCTAAATCTTAAAATAATATTACAATATCGACCAATGGAAATTTTATTTAGTTCATTTTCCATCTCATAGTATGAAAATTTTGAAAATTATCTCTAAAAATATCCTTAAAAATAGTTTTTTTTTATTAATAAATATAATATTTACCATAGCTCACAAAAATAATAATAAATAATATTCAGTACATTTTTATGAAAAAACTCTTATTTAATGAAAAAATCGGGTGTATCCTTAATAAAAAATTTCCTTGTGCCATTAAAAAAATTAGAAAAACATATCAATGTATCTAACTCCATACAACAAAACTCGGCCGTGGCACACCTAACGCATCATCAATTATCATAGCTAATAAATTTTTTATTTTTTTTACTTCCTCAATATAGGCTCTCCTTATTGGTACGCTTGAATGACATATCAGTAGCCCATATTATTCATGGATAAATTAAAATAAGCAGAGATTTTTAACAAGTCGTTGCGACGAGTGATAAATTGTCAGTAATCCCTCCTAGGATTCAAATATAAATTAAATAGATATCTTTTCTGTCGAAGATAGCTCGAGTTTAAGTCAGTCCTGCAATACTAAACGAGTTAACGTTGTATACGTTACATGTAATGCTTTACCGAGGTATGGTTTAGAATTTCGGATGAAATTTCGAGTATGTGACGAGAGGACACCTACACACATACGCGCAAGCGCACGATCAAGGTCAATATCGGATGTCCTTAGGTCTCAGCTGTTTGCTAGTAAATGTATTATGCGCCAAAGAGGGGCAAAACATAGCAGCGGCAATGACGGGCCGAGTAGATAGAGAATAAAAAAAAAAAAACTCTCGGTACTCGCAGAGTACAATTATTAATTATTATACAGCGTGATACTTATAGAAATATGTATGCACGTGTTAGTAGGAGAGACGGTTGGTACATAATGTACAGTGAAACTATATATATATATATAATAGGTGTGCGCACACAAGACATGACAGGCGGACTAATCAACGTTGTTGGGTACTCGTTATTATTATAGTTAGAGGCTGTCATTCTATTCGTTACAGGTCGTGTCAAAGTAAAAAAAAATATTAATTTCTTAATTTAGAAAAAGTGTGAAAAAAGTTTGGGAAAAAAAATATTTAACTTCGAAAATAATATAACGTCGACGAAATAATCTTTTCCCGGCGTAGAGGGGCAGTATTTTTTTTCAATTCAGATCGGTTCACAAAATAAATAAAAAAATGTAAAGAATTTTCGCATAATCTAGGCACACAAAAAGTAACATTACAGTTCAAAAATCTTTGAATATTCTTCAAAGTGGATAAAGGTCAGGTTGATATCATTTAACGCATTGATTTTATTTTATGGTAAAATGCATTTTACGCTTGGTCAAGTTACACAATATATATTGTGTTTTGCAAAGGGCGGCGGTTACGACGGTTCTTTGTATTATTCGTGCAAAATTTTTTAGGGTAAACCAGTAGTCAGGCGAGACACAACTGTATTCTTTACCGCTGTGCGAACGGGATAAGAGCGAATCCACTGCGGATGATGCATTGATGTATTATAATCTATATGTCAACGTGGGGTGCTTCGAACATGATGGATAACCCCCTCTTTTTTTATAGCCGGGGAAGGTCGTTTGTTCGATTATCATACACGAGAGGTGTGCGTCGAATAAAGGCGTGCATAATGACATGTTCTGCGCTAGCAGCAAGCAGTCTGAATGATACACGGGGACAGATAGCCGGTTTGATAATTATAATTATTGCACGCTGCCACAAGGTCGATGCAAACGAACCAAGACTAAAAAGCCAGTGCATGTGCAACAGAAATTTTACTGTGCATAATAATTATTGGCGTAGTAAATAGACACCCGGAAACTAAATCTTTGCGGTTAATAAGATTTAGTGCGACAATTACCATATGTTCGTGTGTTCGAATGCTGTCACTAGATGTTGATTATTTATACAAATGAAAATTTTGAACAGTGACTAATACTGGTCATAACAAAATCTCTTTTAAATTTCTCATCGTGTACGCAACGTGGACTTACCAATTAAATTGGAACAATTTTTAGACCTAGAAGATTGTTTCTTTCATACTATGCTATTATAATTCAAATTTACCGTCTTAAAGTAGGCATTGCTCATTTTTTTTTCCAAGCATTCACCTTTCTCCATACAGTAAAACAAAATTAATGGTACGAAAAATATGATTATAGTACAATAGAATCCAAAAACTATGATGACTGATTCAGTTGAAAATATATGACTAGGACCATACCATATTGTCGTTTACGCAATGTAACTAAATGTACTGAACTTACATTATTTTTTTTTTTACAAAAAATGAACATTATTCTATAATCAAAAAAATAATCTAAAACAAATATATAATAATTATATACTTATCGGAATTGTGTCATACTTTATAAATCATACGAAATCCTATCTACAAGATACAGTTTAGATTATTCATTAAAAAAAAAAACACTCGGTAAATTATACTAAAAAACATATTTTTTCATTAAAAAAAAAAAAAATTAATTTTCTCGATCATAAAATAACAATTTTCTCGATATGCAAATGAAGTGATTATTTCAATGTCTTTCTGGCATCGTCGACGCAACAAATAGATAAAATTGTTAAGTGACTGGTAATTAAGTAAAATTGTTCNATGTATGCAAATGAAGTGATTATTTCAATGTCTTTCTGGCATCGTCGACGCAACAAATAGATAAAATTGTTAAGTGACTGGTAATTAAGTAAAATTGTTCATTTCGAAATAGTAGTTATAACTGTCTAGTTGCAGCGCATGTGGAAAGCAATTCTTGTTATTAAAATAGTTAACGATTATTATCGAATATAACCGTATAATTTAAACTGTGATTTTAACGAACGACCGAGAAAACTTAGTTGCACTATAAGACAAAACAAGCTTGCAGAATCTTAGCTAACGGGTATCGGCATAACCCGGAGATATATACTGCAATTAGAAAATACAATTTTTTTAAGGATATGCAACCTATATAGATATTTTCGATTAGAGTAAAAATCAATTAAATGATTTATCTATTAGCAAAATATTTATTTACTTTTTTTATATTTTTTATAATCTATTTCCATAAAATTATTATTAAAAAAACAAACGTGATGTGTTAGCGAATAAAAATTATTCATTTATCATTTTACAATAATACGGTACAGCACGCGTCGTTTATTATTGTGCTAGTCGTTTTGCTTCAGCCAAAGTGACGCTTGTTTTACAGAGTTTCCATATGTGAATCACCATACAGTAAAGCATTCAATTGTTATGAAAATAATTAACTATTCAAACACGATTAAATATATGTATTTTTACTTTTTAATTGTATAGATAATAAAGTAAATTTGGACAAAAAAAATAAATAAGTTTTTCTATAAGACAGTCAATGCGCAAATGAAATAAAAATATACAATCAGACCAACTAGAGAGAACAGTCAAGAGACACGTGATTATCGTTTATTTTAATACTCAAGCATCGGGAGACTTCAGAAATGTAAGATTGAAATGATTTTTCCTACGTGAAAAAAAAAAAAAATTAAACACTACGAACATATCATATTATCAACAAAATAAATAGTGATAAATTAAATGATTTTTTAGTATTCGCTAGTAAATATTGTATATTTCGAATAACGAATTTTTTTTTAATTATAAAAGAAAATAATGCTTCTACACAATATATATTACACGTGTAAGACACGGGCGGTGGAGAGCGATGAAATCACAGTCGAACAATAATGTTTTATCAATGCTTAAAAAATTGGACTGTAAATTATTTATTCAGATGACATGAAATTATACATGAGTAAGTCATTGTTTTAAATTACGATTGTTGACAGTATAATAAAGTTTTTTTTTTTCAAAGAAATATGTTATCACTTGTATTCTTTGTAAAAGTTGTAATATCGATGTGTTTTAATCGATCAAATTAAATTAAGCAAACAGTTATAGAGAGTTAACAAAAATTGTTTAGTTTAAATATCAAAAATTATTACAATTAGAAATCTAAAACTACATAATTGTTTTTAACAAATTTATTTCAAGTCAATAATAAAAGATTTAGCTAATTCCGAAAACTCCGATGAGGTAATTTGTTATCTAAAAATATTAAGTGAGTTGACAAATTTTTTTTTAGAAATACTATTTTCTTTCTGTATATGTCTTGTAAAATAATTATAGTAAATTATCGTCTATGTTTGCAATTTATATTTAAATTTATAGAGAAAAATGTTACATATTTATTATTTTAGGTATACATGTATTTTTACCAAAATGTGTACAACAAGCTATTAATACTAGGGCGGTAGAAACTTATATTGAAAAACCGTCAAAAAATATTTACATGTAACGTTTTCAAACCCCAAATTTTTCTTGCATCAGTGAACAAATATACATACTAATTGGGTCAACGTCCAATTGGGAGTAATTTAAATATAAACCATGTTTTTTTTTTAATAAAAGCATTCTACCGTTACATCATTTTTGTTGTATATCAATTCTTTTTCGTCCTAAAATTATTAAAAAAGACAAAAATCGTAGTAAGAGTTTTATATTTTGTTTAACCAGTAGGAACATTATTTTAAATTTATGAACGTATCGCACACGCGATTCTATTTAAACACACAACTTTGTGTTCCCTTTCCCACAGTAGTTATACTTGTATATTAAACAATTATCTTACATACAGATTTCTATAAAATGCACGTTATACGGCATTTCAAAAATCATAATGGGGTCACCCAAAGTTAATATTAGGAGGTTAAAATCATATCCCAATCAAAATCTGAGAGAGTATTCAATATAATATATTGAATCGTTATATTTACCGCACATTATGTCTTATCGAATGTGCTCAAATTCATACTGCCGTATGCATAATACACATGCAAAAAAACCAAACTGTACACAAACGTTTATATAAGAATTACGGAGCTCAACTCCAGGGAACAACAAACATTTTCCCCGATGACATGTTGGCAAACTTGATTTTGTTCATAACCCGCTCTATAGACAATATAAATATTCATAAATCATACAATACTAAAGAGTCTACGATATCGATGCCATTATAATATATGCGCGCGGTGTAAAACTTATCACTTAACTAAATAATCTAAGAAACCGCACGTAATCTCTTCTATATGCCAAGTGATCTAAGTTAATATGCAAAACAGAAAATCCTTGTAATACATTTCAGACGATTATACATTACTAATCACACTAGTGCGTTCGAAATTCTCTTGGAACGGGTTTACTGCAGTCAATGCGCTGACCAACTTTACACTGAATGATAAACTAGAGTTCATTTGAAATAATACGAATGAGACCAGACAAAAGCATTGCCCAGGCGCTTTTAATTACTTAGACACTTACTTTTGTAAAATATCCAAAAACTTAGCCATTCCGTTTTGGTCATAGATGGTATTCGGATTTTGATTAACACCGAAATTGTATGTTCTCGTCTAAATTTAGTTTTGATTTAGTTAAATTTAATTTTAGCTTTAGTTTTGACGAGAATATATATATTTCGCAACACGGACAATAAATTCAAATTAGAATCTAACAATTACCGAACATTTATTTCAATAGATTATTTTGATGTAATTAACTCTAAAAGAAAAATAATTACTATCTACGTGTTATAAACTTGAATTAACTCTAAATATTTAAGCTCAAAACTATTTGCATAAATATAACTCCCTCTGAATCAAGCTGAGAAAATATTGACTAAAAAAACATATTAAAATCTGTACTTCAAACTTGAAAGTTTAATCATGTGTTGTCGTTCATCGCACATAAGGTTTGTTAAAAAAATATATTTTCTGTTTGATTATCTTTATTATATAGGGCAATATAAAACCATCTCGGATTGTTGTTAATTTTTTATAATTTTGCTAAGACCATCATTTTAGGGTCCGTATTTAAATGGTTGCACAAGGGGAATTTACTCTATACGACAAAATTCAAATTATCAACATTCTTGCAAAAAAATATAAAATAAATAAAAAATTTGTAAAATATGTTTTTTAACATTTTTTTAAATGTTACAAGTTAAAATTATACTTACTTCAGTTAAAATTTTTAATAATCCATTTAAATTAATATTAAACCTTAATTGTAATCATAAGCCATGTGTAGTAAATAAAGAGATAATTATGATAGACATGCGCATAGTTGGGATTCTTTAAAAATTAAATTAAATTCTAGATAACCATTAATGATATAGTATAAAAATAATTTTAGTAGGAAACTTTAAACAAATTTTTATTTTCAAATTCCACCAATGGTGATAGAAGCGGAAAATTTGTGTAGTGTGCTTAATGGTCGCATCCCGACCAATGATATATACATAAATTTGTTCACAAATATTATTTAAACATTTCGCATGAAATTTTGACCGAATTGAATATTACCTTCTGGGGATGTGACAATGAGGGGGTTATGTGTTCAATTTATCACGATCATTAAAAGCAACTAAACTAGACAGTCTATTAAGCTAAGTATTCTCTATAGAAAACCATTGACATAAACTGAGAGCATCGAACATCAATTCTCGTAGGAGTATTATAAATGCGCTATGACTTGTTTCACTTTTTTCAATCCACTATGTAGCAATTATCAGTCAAAGTAATCCGTATAGTTAATGATTTCACGTGGTACGACATAAAAAAATCATGATTGCTAGTATTAAAACGTGTTTTTAATTACACTAGCAATTATAACTAGTTTTTTATCGGTACGAAGAAGGGGGGCGATTATCAATGGGATTTCTTCAACCGAATATTGACAAACTAATCACTAAAATTACTGGCAAAGTGATCAAGTGTACACATCCTACGCCATACGGTTTCAAAGCGATTATAATAAAGTTGAAATTATACCAAGTCGTTACATTTTAGCTAAGTACAAGATGAAAATGCAAAAAGTACAATAATTACTTCAAAAGAACTTTTATTTATTTAAAAATTTAATTTTAGATACATTCAATCGAACAAGTTTCAAAGAACTTTCCAATACATTGCATGCAAACGATCGAATCATAGGAATAGGATCCACAACGACTTACAGTAAACTATAACCTACTAGATTATTAATGGGTCCTATTACTACTTAATACGTTGTATAGGTGCAATATTGATTATAACGTCATACAAAACTTTATCTTTATTACTTTTCTGTGTGTTACTTATTGAAACTCAAATGGACGTTAAATAATAGAATAATTATTTTTAATAATATGTAGTTAATGAAAATTGATATTTTTTATTTTTATGTTCTTAGAGTAATATTATTATATATAATACTTATATAACATTCACGGTACTCTTATTATGATCAATTCAAGTGATAGAAGAATAATAATTGAATCTACCGATGGAAAATTTTATCAGGACTGAGTAATTTTGTAATTCGAGTGACGATTATTTTAGACATTACTTTAGTGATACTAATTTTTGCTTTTTTTTTTTAGTTTACGCTACTCGTAAATTTTCCTATGCGTTCAATAGACGTTTTATCAATAGAAATATTCTCCACTTTACTGAACACTTTAAAAACAGCCGAAATTGAAGTTTTTAGACTTATGTAGTACAAGTTTGATATTGCCAACATAGATGAAAAAAATTGAGTGTTTTTAGGAAATTATTTTGTAATTATAGGATAATAATGAGATTATAATCACATATGAATTCATAAAAAGTATAATAGGGTCATACCACGGTTGAACTTAACGTTTGTGCCAACATGTGTTAACCCTTAGTTCAGGACAATGTATTCTGACTTATGAAAACATGAAAAAAATGCACTACGTGATGTTTGAAATGTACACCATAAGCTGCAATAGATTTTAAGAGGTATGAACAAAACGAAATATTATAAAAGATAGATGTATTGTATACACAGTAATAAAAAAAAATCACAAGCAAATATAGATAAGACGCTAGTTGGACGAAGCGGCGCCCTTTACACTCTATATATGATCACAGGTGTGTTATATATATAACACACTTACAATTAAATTCTCGTAAAATTTCATACACAATTATCGAGTGTACGTTTTGCACTTGAGCTGATACAATATCCAACTTTGTTAACGTGAGACGGGAAGATGATAACCGCCGTGAATAGCGCGAGAAAATATTACTATATGTCCATAACTAAATTATTACATGGAAAAAGGCGGACGATAAATATTAATGTCGCAGCTTTAACAGTGCGCATCCATTTGTATATATAGGTATTATACAAACATTTCCACCATTTTCTTTTCGAGAAAAAATATTTTCGTTTCATGTGTAATTTTTGTACACAAAATTTGTCTGTTTTGGATCGTCAAAAACCGGTTTCAAGGACATCGAAGAAACTCATGAAATAGTTTTTTTTATTTTGAATAAATGACAATTTTCATTTAAGTAGCGGTCGTATCAAATAAAATCAGACTGACAAAAAAAATAAATAAATAAATAAAAAAGAACTATCGTTTCAAAATGAATTTTGCTCGCAGTGTTCACCAAAAGAAATTTGAAAAAAAAGTAGACGTTTTTTTTTAACTTTTACCTGTTTAGAAAATAGAATTTTTTTAGAAAAAGCTAACTAAACACGATGATATTAAGACCCTGACCTTGGATACTACACACGCACGCACGCACACCACAATTCCAGTAATCATGCAAAATGTAAGCTCTGACCATCCGAAACAATTGTGAACGGGGGCGGCATATTACAGGACACTATATCGTTACATTGTTTCCACTGATTATGTTTGCTATTCCTCTTTTGTTCTATTCAAACACAAGCAAATAATAATACCAGAATGACATACAACTTCCGTTAAATAAAAATTGCAAATTAACTACTAACACAAAGCTTAAACCTATTTATTGTTTGTTTTCAAATGAAAAAAATTGTAACTAAACGGGAAATATTGCTCTCCTTTATAACATCAAACTGTCAAACTATACACTACATATATACAAAAAAAATTACAATCTGTACTTTGTGGTGGTGCTTTTAATTTCCTTCCGGTGAGCCGACGGTTCGCTATCGCGGGGGTGGCGACGTTGCCGGATGCTGTTACTACCCGGAAACATTTTAACATTGTGCAGCAGTATTCAGATGGTACAGATTGTGTCATGAATTAATATTTTAAGAAAATGTTTGATTGATTTAATTAAATTTTTAATTAATACCATATTTAATCAAAAGCAAAATTATACGACCTATTGGGAAAAAATGGTCATATTTTTAAATTGTATATTTAAAAACGAACTTTTTTTTTTTACAAGAAAATTTATTATTTTATTTTTAGAGTAAATGGATTTGGCATTATAGACTAGCATTTTGTGAGTATGCCAATAATTGTGGTTTTATCCCGCAAAACATTTTATTATCAAAATGTACTTATAAAAATTGTGTAATAAAACGCATTCAAACATTAAGAATTTAATTATTTCATCTATAATAGCTGAACAACTAAACGCGTTATAGTTAATTTGTTTGTAATAAACTTCGTTGATTTACACAAATATTCTTATTTATTTTAACCGAATTATTTTCGTGAAGTCATAAACAACGTAAAAAAACTCCTCATAGTCAAATATAAACACTTTTTTAGAATACTGCCGTGATCATCGAATCTAGCGTATCGTAACGACAGCATTAAACTCAGCATTAGCCAGTTAAAGTTGATATTTGCGTTTATATATGTAAACGTTACGTGTGGCGGCGGTTTTTGGATGCATTGTCAAAAATAATATAAAACAGTGGAGGTGGGGGTCACGCGTATCTTTTGTTCACGAGGGTCGACGGCAGCGATGTCGCTAGTCAAGGGCGGAATTCCGGTCGGTATAGGGTAGGTCAATATAATACGGTAGCACGGCGCGGTAGGCGAAGGATGCGTAGCTGAGGGCGTTAGGCACGTGTGTCCCGCGACCCTCTCACCACACTGACAAACACAAGGACGTTCGAACCTTAACAGCTGTTGGAACGTGACGTACCCCAATCTATTGTACGTGTGTACTTCTCTCCACACTCTACCAATTGCCACCAGCTGCTATGTAGTCCGCGTCCAACGTGGACGTGCTCCATAGTACGATGGACGGGGCTCACGATTTCTTATCTCGGCAACTTTATATCTCAAATGTCATAAATAAAGCACCCCCCCTAATGATACTTCATGGTGATAAGCTGTATCTGTAGAAAATCAATATGCAGACGGTGATATTGCATTGCCAATGCTCATTGTGAATAGAAATTATCATAACAGATTTATCAAACTCGAAAGAGAATTGTTTGAATGTCGATTAATAATTTTGTATTATAAGCGAATAAAAAAGCACAATAGTACTCAAATACTGATAAATTGATAAGATCATACAATTTTTTCTCATACAATTCATGGGAATTATGCGCGTTTTAAAAATAGGTACTTTTAATATTTTATTATGGAGGATTAGGATGAATTGTTTACATATTGACNAATAGTACTCAAATACTGATAAATTGATAAGATCATGGGAATTATGCGCGTTTTAAAAATAGGTACTTTTAATATTTTATTATGGAGGATTAGGATGAATTGTTTACATATTGACTTCTCATCAAAAATCTTTATTCGTCATTAAATTTTCCTCTTATCGCCTGTTTAATAAATTAAAAATGTCTAAATTTTTTTACGCAGAGAACAATTAACGGGGAAAATTCAAATCGGGTACTGAAACTTAAAAAGTACACTGCTGATTTACAATAAATAAAGAATTTATTTGGTATCTTCGTTATTTTATTGTAAGTAATATTAAATATTTAACATCATTATTAAAAAAATTATAAACCGCTCCTCAAATGATTTCCGTTAAAAAATTAAAAAATATATATTTCATTTATAACATTTCAGTTGCTGTCATCAATTATTTTAATTAAACTAACTAGTCTTTCCGCGTGTATATTAAAAAGGAATAAGAAGATAGTGAAAGTTTTTTCAAGGAAAAACAATTTTTTTAATGAAATTGATAAGCATTTCAATTATGTTTTATCCGTTATTTACTTAAAATCATTAATTTTATTTATTGGTTTCGTTTTGCCGTTGTACCTATATAACTTAAAGACCGATAAACTGATAATTTGATAAGACGAAAACGTCGAGCTCATACTATTATACGGTAATTAACTATGCTTAACATAATCCTCATTGTCGAGGACGTTTAATTATAAGAACTGACAACGAATATATAATTATATTTCATAGTAATACAACCAAAAACTTATAAATAAGTGCCAGGATTACCAACTTAATAAATACATTATTTGGATTTAACTAATAAAGGGCTATTATTTTTAATATTTTGTTTTTAAATATCATTTAAACAACTTGTGTATTCAATTATAGAATAACGAGAAACATAGTTATCTTTTTTTACACGCAATTATATTTGAATTTACTGGCAAAAATAAAATCAAAACACAATAGTAATTAAAAATTAACGACCAAGTCAAACCATAAATTGCAACAAGAGTCATTAAGTGTAGTCTTAGGTTTACTATGTTTATTGATTAGTTTTCCTTACAGATAACTACCAGATGAAACTTTTTAACGGGATATCTGAGAAGCGAATAAATTTGATACAAGTGCTTACGCTATTTTATACATATTCATATAATTTTCTATAAGTGGCAACATAACACCTTTACGAAACTCTTACAATGGATGTACAACGCAAATAAATTAGTTTTGAATCATTAAAACTTAAAAGATAAAAAAACATTGAATTCATATTTTTTGCGTGACTAGTAATATTTAAGTTACCTCAAATATTGTTAAATGATTGGTAAATATTTTTCTGTAGACCTATACTACAAGAAATATAAATATTTAATTAAAACATGTAATATTTATGAAAAAATAACACCCCAACGACGACATAACCTTTCTAATCTATATTTAGGATTCATTAATTTTTTTATAGAACGCTTAGAAGCAAATTTGTAATAAATTTGTAATCAACACATAACATTTATCTATAGTGTCTGTTAATTGAGAAAGCTACAGGCAGGTATAATTTTTTTTTATTTGTAGTAAATTAAGATGACTTACATTTTATTTTTAAATTACAAATTACAATGTGTTGACTATATTGCATTAACTAGTAAACTCTTATATTAAAAAATATATATATTTCTGGTAAAAGAGGATATCTATTAGACTCATTTGTAGTTTGACAATGGAATCTGAATCCCCGCAAAAAATAAAATTTGAAATCGCATTAAATTTATGAAGCTATAGTGGATAGTATTGCATGAGAAAAATATTTTTCATTTAGATCACTCTCCCCAAAATAAAATCTTAATTACGGGATTGATGTCTAAGCAATTAACAGATAATATATTATAACAGATAATATTCCCGATTTTTTAAAAATTGTCATTATAAGTAAATAATGAGTCAAAAATTGCCAATTATTTATTGAAGGACAAATCAACAGCCTAAAATTATATTTTTTGATATATTTTAATTAAAACAACTTTATATAGATTTGTGGTCGTAAAGAGTATTACAATTCTAGATTTAAGTCTAAGTTAACCAAAAAACGTTGACAATTACTTTCATTAATAAAATAAAAGTAAAATATGTTGGCGACCAACTTAGCCAATCGATAACACGTCATGCTTGAGTGCGGTATCAGGGTTTGATTCCTTTGCAATGGGTTAACTGGGTTTTCTCGTTCATTGTGATACGAACAATAGATTTTTGAGAGGCATAGTAATATAAAATACATGGTATGTTTGAACATTTGAAACGTACAAAGTTCGACTTTAAAACATTATGGAAACAAAAAAAATATGTTCACGGATTAAAATTAGTTTGAAATCGGACCTCAAAAACGTCGCCTCATACTGATGTTCGTTGGTATCTCTTTATATGAGTATGTATATCGAACACCTGAACACTCAAAACAGACACTAACAAAAGGATCAAAAGCACCAGGGGTCTGCAGAAAATAAATAAAAATAAGGTTTCTTTTTTGTATAGATTATTAATGAGGGGTTCGAAGAAATACACACACTTATTATTTGCGCGAACAATAAAATAATAATTACATAATATTTACGTAATGAAATTAAATGAAACGTATATGTTATAGTATATAGAATTTCTTTAAAAATTAAAATTGGAGCACACATTTTGTGTTTTATAACAAATGTTGTTTTTTTTTATTTTAAATTCTAGTTTTTTTTTGAAAGTTAGCAATTATTTGTTTTAAAAAATGATAAGATCGATCAGAAACCTTTGAATCTCGTTGAAGGGAAATATGATTTTTGCAAACACTAACGTAGCGTAAATAACGCGATATAAATAGAAATTTAGTATTGATTGATGATAGTAAAAAAGACTGTAACAGATGAAGCACAAAAGATTATGATAAATTATAGAAAATTAATGTAAGGATTTTGTTGATGATCACAGTTGTAATAAATTAATATTCATCATTACAAACAAATAGAAAAAATATATTTTTGGGTAAATTGTCATTGAAACAATATATCAAATAATACGTTAATTTTATCTAATCTTTAAAACAAAAAATAAATTACTCAAGAGACATGAGAGTATGTAGAAAGGGCAAACAAAGGCAATTTCCTATCATAATCATTTTATATTAAAAAAATAAACACACTACAATTTTAAACAGAAATTTTTTGCTTTTATAAAATTTGATTATAATCATATAGATTTAAGATAGATTTATAATATGTAGATTAATTAAAATGTATGAGATGTGATTGGGTAAGTATGTACGCTTTTTTATTACTAAAATGGTCAAAGTATTAATAAACTATTAAATTTTTATTAATCACACTATAAAAACTTATAAAAAAATTCAATTTTATGTAAACAATTCTGATTAATTAATGTTTGACTGTTCAGGATTAATTAAAAAAAACCCAGCACAGGGGGGTCGCGGCACAGTGGTGACGTGGCATAGTTGGATCAAGTATAATCATATCTGACAGTGATTAAAATCACTATCAAAATAAAACGCTTCGATGCAAATCTTTAGATAGTGTTTAATTTTAAAAAAATTGGTGTTTTATTCCAAAAGCTACTTGATCTGCTGGTTCCTTATTAATATCTCGATTAAGATAAAGTATGTCTAATGAAAAAGGGTTTATTAAAAAATACTATTTCTCATAAAAAAATTGTGTGGATCCATAAACTTTTCAATAAGTTATAGCATTATAAAGTTAAATATAATATAAATAATAAAATCGAGAATTTTCACACGAAAATAGCATTCGGTAGCCATTTTCGCCGTGAAGACAAGTCCAGAGGTCAAATTTTTTTTTTTCAAATTAAAGTATATTACATTAGCTTTAATTTAAGATATATATAAAAGTGTCAGACCTTCCGGAACATTTTCAAAAGTTAAGTTGAAAAAGTTAATTTTTTGTGAAAAAGTTGTCATTTTAAATCCCCCCCTGTGGGTAGGTTAAGTGTCAGATTTACATAAAAAATATACCAAGTGATAGGTAAAGACATCAAGCATCTATAAAAAAAAATTATATTCATATGTTCATTTTTGAAAAAGTTACGGCACATTTTAGTAAAAAAAATTGAAAAAATTTCGAAAATTAGCGATTTTTAAATTTGTAATTTTTTTGGAGGTTTCCCCCATTTACGGGGAACGAGGGAAATTTTTTCAATTTTGGAGGGTAATGTCTTCGACTAGATACACTTTGTGATCTTTTGACGTATCGTTGAAAGAAATCCGTTCGGTGAGAGCTGAGAAAAAGTGGTAACAGACACAAAAAAAAAAAAAAAACACATCATAGTAAAACCAATACCTTCTCAGCTTCGCATCGAAGCTAATAAATAAAGACCACACTGGTCCCTTTTTTTTGGGGTAAGTATAAATATATATATATATTTTAAAACTGATTTATGTTAAAGACATATTCCATTTTTCATAAACATTTATTTTGATTCAAAGATTAAAAACATAATTTATGTTCATCAAGATACCACGATCAATTTATTTATAAGTACTCTGTAGAGATTAATAATGAATAAATAAAAACACTTAAAATTAACATTGTAATTTTTTATTATCAACATATTTTTGATAAAAATAAATAATTAAAATCATATATATATATACATCTAACAAAATGTTAAAATTTATATTTTGACTACATTATAGATTTAAGCATTTATTCTTTTAACAATAATTTTCCCATAATATAAAATATATAGATTTAGAATACTAATTGAGCTTTTTTATTAACTAGAAAATAAAGAAAAATATATACCTAAAATAATATAACAAGTAAAAAAAAGAAATAAAAAAAAATATTGTTAATAACACACTTTAATACTTACTTTTTTCTGTTTAGGTATTAGTTTTTTTTTTTAGTTTCATGTTTCCTTAATAATTTTCTATCAATTTATCCAGGTAATCATTGGCAGTTATTATCTCAGCTTTTTCAGCAATACTTTATCATTAGAAATATTTGTCTTAGAATTACATAGATCAAACTTTGCATTTTATTGCTTCAAAATAATAGAATCAAATAATTTTCAATTACACAGTTTTTACTAAAAGAGTATCCCTCCTTTTTTTAAAACCTTCTTTAATAAAACCTAAAGGAACATACACTTACAGTTATTTTTACAAATATTGATTTGGGTAATTTCTTACTAATGTTATTCCTTTTATACAACTTAGCATCCCATTAAACTTTGACACATTGAAATATTGATAAATCTTGAGGTTGGAGAATGTGACTAAAATGTAGAAATAATTTTAATATGGTAATATTATTCTTAATTTCATTTAGGATTATTCATAGATTTGTGTTGAGTTTCATCATAACTAAGTAATGCACAGTTTGTTACATATTTAATGAAAGTTTTTGTAAAGTAATAACGATTAATACAGGTACTTCCATATAACTGATTTGTTCTTTTTCAACTAATAATAAAAAGTTAATTGGTCTTCAAAAATTTTGAATTTTTAAATCTCTTTCACCTTTTGCATGGTAAATTAAAATTATTTTTGAAATATGATATCTGATAGAAGCTTGCTTTATGATCATTTTTCTTGAAATTAATTCATTAACTGCTATTAACAAATCATTTTTTTCGTACATTAAGATACCTGTATGATCCTCTAATGTAATTTCATATAATTTCCTATAAAATAAATATAATTATTATTATTAATTTTAACTTAAAAGCAAGTAACTTAAAGTAACTATAAAATATTATTTCATAATATTATTGAATTATCAAATTATAGGGAATATTAAGTGTACTTACTTCAAAATTTGACTCTAACAACGTGAAATAGAGGTAGACCGGGTACCAAACGGTATCAAAATTTTACACTTTAGTGATAACATGTCATGTTATGTGATAATTGATGTATCATTATTGAAAAATGTCATAAGTATGACATTTTAACAGGCAAATGGATAGAACACGGTGTATCCATGTTATGCCATTTGATAAATATTTGTTAATGCTATAATTTCTAAATTTCAGCGGACAACCTTAAACAGGATTACGCTTATCATACTTTAACTTTCCCAACTTTAAGATTAACATAGAACAAATTTTTTACATAATTTTCAAATACATATTGTCTATTCTATCTTTGTCGAGGAAAATATTTTATACTTTTTTAGGAGACTTATTTTATTTTTTGAGTTTGATTTGAAGTAAGGACCCTAAATAATAATCGGTTAGTGAAATAAAATATTGAAAAAATATATTTTTTGGCTCTCCCTCAGACAAATTTTTGCAATTATTTTTGAACGGAAATTAAATTCTCTAAATTAATGTTTTCAACGATTTTCTAAAAAAAGATTATACAAACTAATTTAAAAAAAAAGTTATTCTTATATCTATATACTTTAATTTAATAGGGTACCCTTTGTGCGTTTTCGTGCTGTAGATCATAGATATATTATAACTTTTGTTCAACGATTATGTCTAGAAGATTTGGAATTTAACTAAACAAATTCATGTAATTGCATTATTATCTACACAACTTTTACATTATTTAAATATTTTTAACTATTTAAAAATAGTCGTTGTAATAACATTTAAAAAACGGAATATTTATGTTTATAAATATTTGGGATACTAGAAATCTAGAAATAAGAACAAATTATATAAATATTTTAAACATTAATAAATTATTTTTTTCTATTTTTGTGATATAAGTACACATTATCAATTTAATATATTTTTCGATTTAATAATAAAAGACCACTCAAATATATTCAATTGTAAAGTACGACCATAAAATAGACAAATATCATAATTTAAATTTATATTAAATGTTTAAAAATTCATTTATCTTATATACTCAAAATATCTGATCTCCAGAAGAACATGTCTAAAAAACATATGTCTTGACTATTAAAACTGTATCAAATTTACGTTTCAATTATGAACTCCTAATTCATTTATGTTGATTTACTATGTGGTACAAGTTACAACAAAATAACAAGAACACAAGCGCTACATGAAAGATATATTTATGTTTCAATTAAAAAAATATGTATATGATATAATTTGTAAAGTAAATATTGTTCTTCTTGACCTTACTAACGTTTATATTGACCTATATTAAAGATATGCTACATAGTATAAATTATAATAATATTTTTTGATTTATGGTCAAATAAATACATAGAGATTAAATCAACTAAGCGTACAGTATTAGTATAAATTATATATATCAAATATTTAATATAGAACATGTCGAAGAATGATGTTAAATTGAACAATTCTGGAATCATTTCTATTTAATATTATCGTGTAATATTTAAACAATATTTTTTAGTTTTAAATAATATTAGCCACAAGTGATCAATTCTTATTATATAATTATGGTAGATATTTTTATTTTTATTAAAAAAAATCTAATTTTGTTTGATTCTAGAATGATCTGGCAACACTACACCATTAGCAATGTGTCAATCAGAATTTGCGTTTAGTTCTGGTTTGTGCACATTTTACACTGTTGCCAGATATTATACCAACAGTCTACCAACGTCGTGGCCAAGAAGAACTTATTTTGGTTATGAATATGTATTATTATTACATATAAGCAGTCGATTCTGATGTCGTTGATAATTGACCGAATTTCAGAAAGAAAAAACTTGGCGGTAGTCCAAAAGTTTTCTTTTCATTGCCGCGAATACTCCCCCGCCATTTCTTTACTCTCTGTGTGTTGTCTAAAAAGCTTGCCATCGCAGTCATAAAATTCTTCAACATTTCTTGTCGTTTATAAATTACACGAGCAAAAAAGCGTTAGTGGAGGTGGGTTGCCAAAAATATTTAAAAACTATTTCCATTGTAAAACTTTTCAGTTAATAAAACGATCAAATAAACATAACAAAAATTAATAATAATCACGAAGATATAAATTAAAATTTGTAATGCATGATGATGTACTTACTCGGTATATAATGATTACACAACAATGATAAACGATTTTCATCGAGTTGTCTGTTTCAATAAGATGTCGAATACTCAAGAGATACTGTGATATTATTTATTTAATTATTTAAGTACCGAAAACTGTATAAAGCCAGCAAGAATACCATTACACTGAATGGATAGATTGATTGATAGGTTTGAAAGTGTGAATAATTATTTCTGTAACCATTCGTATAACAATGGAAGCTCATAAATGCCAGCTACAGAATGATAAATCAACGTAAACAACTCAAACTTAAACTGGCTGTGAACTTTTCATTTTTTTAAGCATGAATTTTTTTACTACTGAGTAATTTCCAAAATAAAACTAACGGGTTTAAAAAATATAATTACAACATATATATTAATAGAAAACTATAACAGTGATATCATTACGGTTTGAATTAATTGTCGGTAAGTTATTTGTACTTGCCAGATATTTAAAAAACCATTCTGAATAAAACAAATAAGACACAATTGTCTAGACTTCTGGTTATGCATATAAATTTAATATATTATTTAACTTAAATTTTGGGAATTGAAGTATATTTTTTTGAACGTATAACTATTAATAATACTAGTACTATAATGACTTAATATTATAAGAAAAAGAAGGTTTTTCTTCTATCTCAGACAATCACATAAATAAGCAGTATCAAGTTTTAATATAATTCATTAACACACGAATCAATAATTTTATTTTAACGCGTTTNAATTCATTAACACACGAATCAATAATTTTATTTTAACGCGTTTTTGCTCTAAAAACGTTAATATTGAAAAAATAAACTATAAACCAGCCAATAACTCTTTGATGAAAATGTTTTAATGAAGATTATTATGTATAAATTACGAAACTATAAAATAAAAAGGTGATATGAAATCAAAAGTTTTCTTACGAAAATATAGTTCTTAAGAAAAAAAGTAAGACATTTATTGTTGTACATACACAGGTAAAGTCAAATAATCGATTTAATATTGAAAATTAAAAACACAGAGTTTCATCAAAAGCTTCAAAAGAAACAGAATAAATATATAAAAAATCTCCAAGCAAAAAACCACTAACATATTTATATCAGCATATGCCCCTGTATCTCCTCTCGAAAATACGCGCTACTGCTATTAGTTACTAGTTTTCTGATATATATATCTGATTGACACGAAATACTGAAGTCGGTCACACATTAATTTTGTTTACATAGTACTTTTATAAATTTTGATTGAAACATATCACCCATAAAAATATTGCTTATTTAAATTAGGTTGGTAATTAATTAATTAGTAAAATGACAGTTTTTTGTTCTACGAGATATTTATATTAATTACAATAAGAAAACAAATATATAACTACTAATAAAGCAAAAAAATCACTATTGAATAACATAAATACATAATTTGGTCAATTTGACAACACTTACTATTTTTCCATTAAGAAAATTCCGTACAGTCTTGAAATTTTTAATAAATGATACAACATTTTGATACTAAAAATTATTATTAATTTTAAGTATAAACTTATAATTTTTTTTCTTTTCTATTTAACAGAAAAATATTATGCTCACATTTTGTGATAGGTATAATTTTTTATCTTTCAGCAACAATATAGTTGTTTCCCATTTAGATTTAGGGTTATTACAATCGAATATCCATACCTTATCGTAATGTAGTGGTTTGATTTCACCGTTTAAAACTCTCTATAAATAAAATTTAATACATTAGTATTTTTTTATTATATACAAAATAATCTGTCATTTGATTTAAATTGGTTAATTTAATTAAAAAAATTGTATATTTATATTTATACCGATTACATTTGAATGACTAAATACAAAGAAATGTTAAGTTATACAGAGTGTTCAGTAAGTAAGGAAACAGGTCAATTGTTACAAACAATGAGAACAATAGAAACCCGTTTCCTTACTTACTGAAAACTCTATATATTTTCTTCAACATTTATCCTCAAAATAGGTAACCAAAGTAACACATAATATTATGTATGCTAACTGATATTATACCCATTGTAAGAAAAAAAAAATATCAAAAATAAATTTTTACCAAAATTAGTAAATAATAAAAAAAAAACCAAGAGATTCATAAATTATAAAACAAGGCACATAAATAATTTTTGTATATTGATTAAAAATTATAAGTTGCTATTTAGTGAAACAAAGGTTTGCAAAAGCAACCTATTTATAAATGAATATTTAATGATTCAAATGATTCATCTATTTAGTCCTTAAGTTTGCAAAATTTTAACTTTTTTCTTTCAAAAAATATCCTGAAACTGATTAAGAATACACATAGGAAACATTAGAGATTTATCAATCCATTATTTATAATAGCACTTGTCTAAGATAAAATTAGTCTATTGAAAAATTTGTCAAATATATAGTACAAATTACTACTTCAAAATATTAACAAAGCACATTGTAAGTTTAATGTAATATATATAAAAAAGCATTAATATATTAATATTTAACAAATCGTTATACGTGGAGTTATTGAGTAATACTAGAGATAATTATATTCAGTAAAAAGTTAGTACATGTTGCCTAAATTATATAAAATCTTAACATAACATAAAAAAAAAGATAAATATTGAATTTAATTTAACTGGTTAGAGTAAAAATGATAAAAAATTAACCATTCAAATGGAAAGAAAAAATATATTCTATTTAAATTTTTAAATACATATATAAATTTTAACTATATACATATATATCATGTATAGAATTTTATAATATATAAATTTAGGAAGGAAATAAAAGATAGAAATAATAAATAAGTTATTTGTAATATTACAAGAAAAACTAACTAGTATTGTAAGTAAAATAATAGATTATATTTAAAAAATATCTCAAGAAATTTACTATAAAATAAAAAATATAAATAACATTATAAACACTATGAAAATTGGGAAGTTATTCAATTGAATATATTTCTGTAAAAAAGGTAGTTTTTTTAATATATTTCAGGAACCGTAAAAATTTTTTAGTATAATATCCTATTTTTAAAGAAAATTAAAAAATATATATAAATTCTTGAGTTATTTGCAATTATTTTGTTCTCTTTATATTTGTTTATATCAAAATATGAATTTAAAAAAAATAAGTCAACTGTTATGTGCAAAATATTTAATGACCATCTTGATGAGGCCTGTATATATTACAAAAAAAAGCATATATATATTTTGTGGGGGAAAATTAAAAAATTAGAGATATAATTTAAATCAGAAGTAATCTATTTTGGAAACCACTTTTAGAAATACAATATATATTTTAATATATAAAATATATCTCAATTTTTTAGTATTAATTTTACTAAAATTAACTATTAATTTACACAAAAAATTATGACATATTCCTTTTTGAAAATTCTTTAATTGACAATTTAATAATTGCATTGTGTAATAATAATTTTATAATAACACAATTTTTATACATAAATTATTCATTAATTGAATAAAAAGTGAAATAAGTTAGTAAATTATTGTTTAATTTAGGTAAAACAGAAATAAAAATACAACTAAATGTTAAGTATTTATCAAACATATTTAAATAACTACATCAAATTAGTTGGTTATAAAAGCATATTAACCAAAAATACTAGTTATTATAACTTCATCATTTTTAATTTTTAAGTAATAGCATTATGATACAAGTACTCAAACAAAGATAAAGGATATTATTTTTTATTATAAAATGAATATAAACCTAAGTTTTATGGTAACGAATTAACAAATGCATTACTTTGTAAAAAAGGTAAAATTTAAATATTAATTGAATAAATACCATTTTTAGAAAATCTTTTAATTTAAGTTATTTATTCCTATTAAAACACAAAAAATTTGTAAAACTTGATCAACTTAAATATAAGATTTAAAGTAATTTCTATACAACATTGAATAATCAAAATAAATCTAAATTTTTAAGATATAGATATGTGTTATTTTAAAATATATTTAAATAGAAATTAATTAGCTAGCGATGTAGCTAACAATATTAATATTTAGAGCTGTGAATTATATACATTTATAAACATTTTTGAAGTTAATGTGAACACATCTTCAGCTATTAAAAATTTCTATTAACCGACATGAAAACTTGGTAATCTATTTTTTTGATGTTATAGTTTTGAGGGAATTAGGGAGATTAATTCCCCTAAAATTGAAAAATATTTCCATGTTATTGTATAATCCAACGACTAAGATGCACAAACTTGGGACCCTTTAAAATGGCTCAAATAAATTTTATATATGCATATAATTCACAGCCTAGTTGACAATTTTAGTAAACATAACTAATAGCAAATTTTATACTATAAATTTTTAAACATAAAAGTACTTAATTTAACATAACATACACTATAAAAATTTAACATAATTGTTATTTTTAATAATGCTAAGTCAAGTACATTTAATAAAGAATAAAAATTAAATACTTATTTTTATTTAAAATGCTAATATAACATTGGACATTTCTATCCAAAATTACAAGCTATTTTACACTGAAATATCGATTATTCAATTAACAAACCATAATTAAATGCCAATTCTACAATAAAATGTAATATAAAATAATATACTTAAATTATGTGTTTCTATATAATGTATAGAAATATATATGGTATTCAATAAAAATGTTTTATAAAAAAAAAAAATATTACAATGTATATTATTCATCATCTCTTTCATTCCTCATACCTCATTCCAACTATTTAGGGTTGCTTCTACTTTACAATGATTAGATAGAATTTTTATATGGGCTGTCGACTTCACACTATCTCATTATAGCTGAGAAAGCTAAATGGATATTATACATTTAAAAAATCATTGTTTATAAATATTATTTTTTAAATATTTCATAGTTCTCAATGATGATTATCAGATATATAATATCTAAATGTTGTACAAACATTCATATTGATAATCCAACTCTTATTTTAGCGTATAAATAAATTCATAATTGTGGTAATACCTCTATAATTTTATATCTGGCTTTTTCATTTGGATTTTCATCAAAATCTAACATCTTATGAAAACAAAATTCCTGTAAACAAATATAAGTAATAAATATAATTGAAAGATGATATGCACTTCTATTCACATTTACTTCCGGATGCTTAAACATATCAAACATCTTAACATTATGCTGGAGTTTTAATATTCTGTCATTGTTTTCAGGTTCCATTTCGTAAAAACACAAAAGAACTAATTCGTGACTTTCTAATGTCCTTTCTAATTAGGAATGATTTAAACATTAGTATATAAGCATCATTATAATTTTCTATCACTACCTATTCCTTTGTCTTTCCATATAACTTGAATAGACCATTCGTAGCATTTTTCAAGCAAATTATTTGTTAATAAAAAACAAACTTCTTTAGCAGTAGTTTCAGAGCTTACATAAATTGATTGATATGAATCATCACTGTTGTATATATTGATATTTCTCTAAAAAAAATATAAATTTAAATATAAGTATAACATTTGAGTTCTTTCCAATTTAATAAAGAGTAATTACTTTAAAAATAAATTGATATAAATAAAAATTATTATTAATGTAAGATTAGTATCAAGTGAAATAAAAAGTTAAAATTTCATAAAAAAAGTCGAATTGAAATAAGTATTATTATAATATAATTTTATTTTTGAACAATATGACTTTGTATATCAAGTAATTGATAAAAAATTTTTTATATACCACGAGATAGAATAATTTTCATGGAAGAAAATATAAGAATTAATAAAACAAAAAAAATTAAAATAATAACGAAATATGAATATTCCATTTAATTCCTGTAATAAATAACTCTAATTAATATTAATCTAATTATTTACATTGTTAAAGTTGTTTTATACTATATAATTATAAATTTCCTATTCAAATATATTTTAGGTTCTAATTGGAAAATAGGATATAATTTTATTAATCTAATTTGCGTTCTTACATACTTATTCAAAGTAATAAATTATCGAAATATAAAAATACACGACAACAGATGACATTTAGACTGGAACAGTGTCTCCAATACGAATTTAGAATGACTTAAAAATTAATTTTGAACATTTTTCGAAGGACGCATACTTGGGATGAGGGTAATCCCCCTAATGTATCCAATAGTAAATTTAGTACTAGCGCGGGCAGCACAAAATTTTTAAAGGGTATGATTATTCAACATGATTTTAGTTATTATAGGAAATTAAAGATTAATCGTTAAATTATATTATATTCAAGTATTATTACCATTTTTTTTATATAATAAAATAATTGTACTTACCGAAATGCAACTAAGTTCAAAAGATTGGTTTTTATATTCTTCCAACTTTTTATAAGGCGATAAAGAAGTCATTGCTTTTTAATTGTAATATTATTCATCTCTGTTTGACTAGTTGCTAAAATCTAAACGGTAAAATATGTAAATAATAGAAAACATTTATGGAACAAGATTTGATTTTTATAATTTTTTTTAATTGACACTTCAAGCGATATCAACCTTCCTAGAATTATCAACATGCTATTTATAAACAGCATGTTACAAAACAGCGCTGTTTTGTATTAACAACAACTTGAAAAATATTTTTAAAAACTACAATCCTTATTAATATGTTTTTTGAGCTTTAAAAATGTTGATATGCTAATTCCACATCTAAATCTACCCTAAAACACAGTTTTCATTTTATAATTTCATTACGATAGTTTTCGTCACACACCTCGAAGCATTCACTTTGCGTCTCGTGGTTTTTAACCGTTTGATTAAGCTTGATAAAAGGGTTTTTTTGGCGACAAAAATTTATAGGAATGATAATGACTTCATTTGGGATGATGGATGTTGTTAATAGATATGGCGGGAGAAAACTTTATTGCAAAAATTATAAAGCTCGGTTCTCTGAATTGAATGATGAGTATTTGGAATAATACACTAGAAATAACTGTTCTGGGAATTTCGTCAAGATGAAATATTTAGTTTTTTTTCGTAAATTCGTTATATACAAATTTATATTAAGGTAATAGCTAATGGATTTAATGGGTTATTATACTTAGTAGAGGTATTAGAATAATTAAAATGATATTAATGTATATAATATACCAATAAAACCAAATTTTTAAAAAAATATATTACTTCTCGTTAAAATTTTTTTTGGATATTCTTGACCTAAGGAACAGTATTCAAAATATTACGATAAAATTAAATGTTGATTGTATGATTAACTGTGAAATCGCTTATAATAAACTTGACAAGTTTTTAAATATTTCTTGATTTTAGAATTTTCTTTTTTTATTATTGTTAAATTATAAAATTAAGTCTAAATAATTATTCTTTATATTTTATTAATATATTATATATTGTAATATTTATATTTTTTGAAAATAGCATATAAATTTCGAGATTATTTATGAATTGAATAGAAAAAAAAGGATACAAAATTTTATAATTGTTGAAATAATTTTTTTTATTATTAAACATATAGGTTCTAAGTAATATTAAAATTGTATGAAACCAATAATCGTTAAATTTTTATGTTAAGTCTATTAACTAGGCTAATATTTTTATAATGTACAGTAATTGTATAGATCGTTTTCACTAAAATTTATTGCCTTCTCATCAATCTATTGACCTTTTCTAAATTGCGGGTAATTGTAATGACATTGAATTAGCAGTCGTTGGTAGAGTATTTATATAGGCAATTTTTCATTCGATTGTTGGTTAATATCACACAATATCCATTTTTAAGATTTAAAAATGACTAACTTCAAGTTTAATTAATCATTATTTAGAATGTAAATTTTATAATAATAAATTATTGCTAGTCTTACAAAAAAAAAATTGTTATTTTATAAACAATTAGGGTTTTCATTCAATTGTATTATTAGGGAAACGCGCAGTAAAATGATTTATGGATGGGATGGCGATATACTTGAGATTTAACATTTTAATACATAATGATGTTTCCTTTATTGAATATTAAAGTGGCATAATATTTGACCATTTTAAAATATAATATCAACGGTTTGTGTTCTACTAACATTTTAATTGTCACTTTCAATTTAAAAATTTTTTGAATATTATCAATTAAATTTTACAAAGAAATGATATGTATATTTTTTATTTAAAAAGGGTTTTCCACAACTGGTGTACTTTTCAAGTGCGCCAATAATTGACATCTAATTATCTACTACTAATTATGCCAGTACTTTTACAATTGTACAAATAATAAACAAAGGCAGATGTACTATTCTTACGACTGGATTAAATGCTAAATAATTGTATTGAGGGATAAGATTGAAAAATTATTAATTTACATATTATGTCATGAATCATTTGCTTTATTAGTGCTACAATGGTTTGGACATTTTTTAGTGTTGCTAGTTTTCTTGTTTCAATATCTCTTAGTTTGGTATTTTTTTAGTTAAGATAGTTCTTTAACTTTAACCTATAGTTTTTTTAGTTTTTATTAACTAATTAATTTTAAGTTAATTAAAATGCTAGTGATAGTAATTGTTGCGACACACCGTACGGCATCGTAGTTACTCCTCGGAGAAAAAAACCATTTAGAGAATTTGATGTATTAATTTAAAAGTTAATCGAACAAGGTAGCAGTTTTAATTAACAGTTATAATAAAATACATTCCACATTCGCAACAGTGATAAAATTTTACAAAAAAATTATTTATTATTTTATCATAAAAAAAAAGTCTTGTTGATATAATAATAATAATAATAAATAATTAATAAGAAAATCAAATGAATGTTTAAAGTTTTTGAATTTCTATGATGAAACTTTTTACTTGAAAAAATTGAAACAGATTATTATATATCAATTCAACTTAATTTACGAATACAAACATTTGGTAAAATATTAAGCTATCCAATAATATTTATTGGAAATCCAAAAATTCTCATACGTCAATGTGATATTTTTAATATACACGTTAATTTTACCCACAAATATTGTAGTTTTTATATAAAAAAACCAGCACAGTGGGGTTCAGTATAGATGATATCTGACAGTGAAAAAAATAACTATCATAAAAAACGCTTTCATGCAAATCTGTAGATAGTTTTTAATTTAAAAAAGATTGGTGGATTACTCCAAAAGCTAAATGATCTACTATTTCCTTATTTATATTCTGATTAAGTTTTATGATTTATAAGTGTAATATATGAATATATATATATATATTTATAATATATAAATATATAATGTGAAATGGTCCGATTTAAAAAAAAGTATGTCGCATAAAAGAAGAATACATCCATACATTTTTCAAAAAGTTATAGTATCATAAAGTTAAAAATATAAAAAAAGAATTTTTTTACAAAAATCATATATTAGCTTCGATGCGAAGCTAAAATTGTGTCTGTGCCTACTTTTTCTTAACTCTCACCGAACCGATTTCTTTCAACGATACGTCAAATGATCACAATTCGTATCAAATCGAAGACATTTCCCTCAAAAATTAAAAATTTTTCGCCGTAAATGGGAAAATCTCCAAAAAAATTACAAATTTAAAAATCGCTAATTTTCGAAATTTTTAAAATTTTTTTTTATAGATGTATGATGTCTTTATCTTTCACTTGGTCTATTCTTTGTATAAATCTGACCCTTTACCTGCTCACAGGGGGGATTTAAAATGACAACTTTTTCAACTTAACGTTTGAAAGTGTTTCGGAAAGTCTGACACTTTTATATATATCTTAAATTAAAGCTAATGTAATATACTTCATTATGGAAAAAAAATTTTTGGACTTTATTTTGTCTTCACGGTGAAAATAGTTACCGAATGCTATTTTTGTGTGAAAATTCTCAATTTTATATTTTATATTTTTAACTTTATAATGCTATAACTTATTAAAAAAGAATAGATCAATACAATTTTTTTATGAGAATTATATTTATATTCCTCTTTCATTCGACATACTTTTTTATTAAAAAAACACCATTTCCCTTTATATATTATATTTATATTTATTTATTCATATATAACACTTGTACTTTCACCATGAAGATAAAATAAAGTCCGAAATTTTTTTTTCCGTTATAAGTATATTACATAAACTTTAATTAAAGGTACATATAAAAGTGTCAGAGTATCCGGAATACTTAAAATTTAAGTTAAAAAGTTGTCATTTTAAATCCCCTCCTGTGAGCAGGTAAAGGGTCAGATTTATAAAAAATATATTCCAAATGATAGGTAATAACATCATGCATCTATAAAAAAAAATTATATTGATATACTCATTTTTGAAAAAGTTATAGCAGTTTTAAGTAAAAAAAATTGAAAAAATTTCGAAAATTAGAAACTTTTAAACTTGTAATTTTTTTTGGAGATTTCTCCCATTTACGAGGAACGAGGGAATTTTTTTCAATTTGAGGATAAAATTCTGTTTATCTATTGTCTACAAAATTATAATGATAATACATTATATAGTTAGCTCAAGCTTTGAATATCATACAGTAAAAGAAATAGGTATATAACCCATTATTTTATTTCAAAGTGTATATGCATATTTATATTTTTTAAAACCCTAAATATGGTATACGTCATTTGTCGACGTATTACCCTCAAAACACCACTTTATAAATTTATAAAATATTTTTTTTGAGCACTAAAATCATATAGTGTAATATTCCTATATTAAATTGACATTAACATATTAGAAAAAATATTTCCTGTAGCTGGAAATCCTAGTGAATTGTAAATATTTGTATTCTTTTTTTTTTTTGGTATGTCTAAATCAAATTAATTCCTTTATATATATAGTTTTTATGATGAAATGAGTTTATAATTAAAATAATTTTTTCTATATATTTTCCAAAAACTCTTATCGTAAAAAAAATTATAAGAAAATTTATCCATAATATTTTGATTTTTAGATGAGAACAATAATTTTTCTAATCTTGATTTAATAATTAAATGTAATATAGATCTCTATATTAGCTATCGGGCTTAAAGAAATAGAAGATGATATATCTTAAAAATAATTATGAAATGTATTAATAATTTTGTTGACCTTATTATCTACAAATGAGTTATTGAATTTAATGATTTACATGGAATTAAAAAAAAACTGTTATGTCAAAAATACATAAACAATAATAGAGACGATATTATTATTTTATTAGATAAATGTATCAACTAATAAAACATCGGAATAATTTTGATAGGAAAATGTGAATCATAAAATCTTTGACCTTTTAAAATAATAAAATCATCAAAAATGAAACTCATGAGAATAAATTTTGAATTATGAAATTAATCAATTTAAAGAGATTTAAGATTGGAATAATCTCAATTATAGTATGTAGAATTATCAGATAAACTAATATAAATCAGTCACACGTTATACTTAAACATAAAAAAGTATTAAATATTGCATACCTGTTCCAATCAATAGATCGACGGTAATGTTAATTCCAGACTAAACATAAGAACGCTTAAACATCAAATAATCACTAAATTGTCTTTTTGCATGTGATTGCATTTATTACAACAGTACGCAATATTAATAATTTTCTACCAGTAATTGACTATTATTGAGTAACACCTCTTGAGTGATCGCTGCCACCTACTCAGTCGTATCACATTACCGCTCTTCATTTATGCGGAAATATATTAGTTCGACATTAGATTCATTTATTCAAATCACTCTACATTCATTAAAAAATTGGCTGACTTTGTAGTTTACAAGAAAAAATAACATTCATGTGTGCACTTATTACGTATCATGTAATAACTCATAAAAATGAATTCGATCGAGAAATTAAATTGAAGATATAAATTAACCCAACAACGCTGAATGTTATTTTTGCCAACCTGTGGTTTTTAAACATTTTCGTAGCTTTTTTAAACAAAAACCATAGGAACTATTTGGGCATACTCAACACTCTTTTATATGTATAAGTACAAATTTCTACTTGTCAAGTATAAGTTTTGTATTCTAGGTATGATTCAGTTTTTATTTCATGTATTTTTCCTAATGAGATCTCAAGGACATTTCAAAGTTTTTAAGAAACAAATGAAGACTAAAGACATTTATCAATCTCCGCTCCACTCATATCTATGTATTAATTCGCATCATTCTATTTACACCTTTTTTATGATAATGAAACAATTTTCCATTCAATCGAAATCGTTGTTAAAATTTTGAAAGTATAAACTTAAAGATACTTCCAAGTTAAGTTAGTTGCCTACATAAAACGCCGTTTAGTTTAATTGTATCAGACCTGTAAAGCGCTTGAGTAAAAATACTCAAATACTTCTAAGTATTTAAAATACTTTTTAAAAATATTGTTTGACATTTAAACAAAAAATACACTCATGTGATTTTCAGCAGTTAACTTAAGTTTAAATTATGCATAAAAATAGAAAGAACATTTTTTTTATTGCATTTTTTAATTATCCTTGAATTTTTTTCAGTAAAATTCAGTTTATTATTTTTCTAACATTAATTGCTCAATTATAATTTTACGTTTGTTTAATAATTATATCTACATGAAATAAATAACTCCCATCCGGAAGAAACAACTAAAAAATAAATTTTATCATGTTTTAGCATTGACGCATATTGTTTTGTCTTTGAGTGATGCAATTTATTCGACTCATATTTAAATGATTGATTCTATTCTATTGAATGAATTAAAAACACATGAATACTTAGAAAAATATCGGTTAATTTTTTTTTTTAACTGAAACCTTGAGTGTTTTAGATGTCAACATTTGGATTACAACAGTAGATGGTTATATTTTATATATCCATGTCCTATAAAGCTAGTTCATTTATAATATACCATAATGAACAATTAGTCTCTATATATGAATCTAGTAATTTAGTATTTCATTAAGGTGTCCTTTTCACGCGTGTATTAGTATGGCTTTCAAACAAATTATTTTATTCTTGAATATAATTTCTGTGTCATTTGTTTTTCTTCAAGTATATGTTATAAAATTAGAAAACAAATTTTTACTAACTTTATAATATTACATAGTGTTTAGTAAGTAAGGAAACGGATTTCTATTTTCATTGTTTATAACAATTAACCTGTTTCTTTACTTACTGAACATTCTGTATATCACCCTGAATAACTTCTTAATATTATATAATTTACAGGTATTAAATTTTAATAATTTGAACCCTATAAGACACGAATTACGTATAGCTACCTACAAATGGAATGGAAATAATTCTTTTTTAAATTATAACTTTTTCGAAGTAAAGCAGTATTATGATGTACAATATTTCCATAGTCACTTGTGTACTCGTTTACCTATTATCCCTTATCGTGTAAGTTTTTTACATATATGATTACTAAACTTTAATATGTATAAAAAGTTTCATTGTTTATGTTTTAATTATTAAAATATATGTATAAAAGAAGACTAAGTATTTAATTCCAATAAATTATACATTTCTATATTCATTGATACTATTTTTATTCTATCTAAAAAGGTATTCTTATTTTTTTAGTTGTCTGTTGAAGTAATTAAGTGCAAAGAACATTTTATTGATTGTGCTAACCTCAGATCATTTGATATATTAGATATATGTGACAAAATAGATGCAATATTTTCATTTTTATCAATTGGGTACAAAAATCGAGATATATATTGTCCAATCGAAGTAAAATTTTTTTGTTATAAATAGATTGTTTTTTTTATAAAACTAAATTAAAATAAAACTATTAGAATAAAACAAACTTATATTATTAACTGTTTTATCATTAATATAGGGTGAATATGTTTTAAGAAATATAAGCCTTGCTTCTTCTGCATTTAGAATGGCTTCAGCTACATCAGAAAAATGGTGGGAAAATTCATATAAAATGAAAGTTCAGGTTTATGATAAATATCAAGTTGATATAGGAAGTGTTGAAGGAAGTGGATACTTTTTAACATTTAGAAAAAAAAAAAGAACTTCAATTATTAAATTTGATTGAAAAAAATTTGTAAAGTATACAATAATAAAGTATATAATAATAGAATATAAAGTATGCATTATTATAATTAAGTTTTACTTTAATTGGTTTTGTAAAATATCTATCACTTATTTTATCTTATCTAAGGTACAAATTTATCCTATAATTGAATAGCGGCAAGAATTCCATTACAGTAATAAAAATAATCTATTTTCGATTTAGAAAATGTTCACAAAATGGTTGGTAAAACATCAAGAATGACGTACTTCAATCAAATTTCGTTTTTAAAGTTCAATTATTTAAAATTCACTAGGGTAACAGGGAATGATGTGCATGATGAGAATCACAATATTTCGTAAACCTTATAACCACTAGTTTTAAGGTGTAGGTTATAAAAAACAAAAGTGTTCATATAGCTCAGCTTAATAAATGAAAGAACGTCAAGTTAAAATCTGATCTTACTCGGATGCAACAAATCCGAATGTGAAAAACTTCATCATAAGCGTTCATCTGTACACCCAGAGAAAAACCTCGATCTATATAATAAATTCATTGTTCAATTTGATAAATATATCATTACTATTGAACCTACGATATATTTATCAATATGATATTTTATTTTCTTGTCTTGAACAATAATTATTTATAAGAATAGTTATTTTGTTCGTATTAATAAAATATTATCATAATCCCTTGATAAAATTTCTCTATCAAAATTGATTGAGGTTTTTCTTTGGGTGTAAGTACAAACGCAATAATCATACATGTTAATGGTATTCTTATTATTTGCCAAATTTCTATTTAGTTAATTAAGGAGAAGAATAAAGAGAGTTAATAGCAGAAGAAACATTAAGATGGCGACGACAATGCTGACATAGAGAGAATACCGACAACAACTCGATGTAACACAACGATAACATGGATAATCAACAACACATTTTCTTGACAGCATATTCGACCGATGTGTATCCAAAAACATTAAACCTTTTCTTTTTGTAAATTTTTTTTTACAAAAGTCAACTTAACTTTTGAAAATATTTCAGAAATACTGCGTCGTTTAAACATATGTCAAATTAAAGCTTATGATATGTATTAATAATTAAAAAAAAAAAATTTGTCCCGACGACTTATCTTCTACTTGCAAGTAGCTGCCGTAGTTTAAAAAAAATGCTATTTTTGTGTTCAACCTTTTTTTTTTATTTATTTTAAAATTCTTATACAAGGGTTTGTCATAGTAATTAGTCCATCAATTTTTACAAATTTACATGAATCGAACTTTTTTCTAATTTTTTATAAATTATTATTTTTTAGAATCATCCCTTTGCACTTATTGGGGTGCCAACAAAGTTTGCGTGTATAATTAGCATGAGGATACATAATTTATTCATAATCTACGTGATGTGTAATCATAAAACCTAAATAAAATTTAACTGACCAATTATAATTACAAATAGAATAATTATTTTCACTAAAAAATTAATACAAGGATTTTTAAAAAACACATTGGATAAGGTAAAATATTTATCGTTTCAACAATCAACAATTATATAAAACAATAGTTTCAAATATAATTATTTTAATAATCTTAAGGAATTATCATATTCAAAATTGTATAAAATTTACGAAAAGTATAGTATAAAATATTAGACTATTCTTTTAAACTTCGGTGAGTTATTCTAGCCACACCTAAAATTTTGATAAATTTAAGTCTAAGGTCGGGCAGTTACGCTAGTGAAACATATGGATCGGCACCATGTCATAAAAATTAAAGTATTCCTAAAAATTGTATAGTTACTTTCTAAATTTTAAAGAAATGTAAATTTAATTTGATATTATTTTAATATATTAAAATATAAAATATATAATATTTAAAAAACATATTCATTTATTGAAATAAGCAATGAGTTATATTAGAATATCATAAATGATTATAATGATTAATAAACATAACACATAAATAACATTTATCTAACCAATTTTAGTATTTTAGAATAAAATTAAATAGTTTTAATTTAAATTCTTGTTTTTTCTTCTTCTAAAGGTTAAAAAATAAGCACTTCCTTCTACGTATAATACTTCAACATTATATTTATCATAAAAACATAGTTTCAATTTATATGAATTTTCCCACCATTTTTCTGTTGGAGCTGAAATTGTTTGAATTGAAAGTGTAGAAAAGCTCATATTTTTCCAAACATATTCACCCTAAATTATTAAGATATTAGTTAATAATATTTCGTTATGTCTTTTTAATTTTTTTCTAATACTTTTTTAATAATGTTTTGAAATGATTCGACTAAATAAAGTAGTTAATTCTTTGCACTATAAATACATAAGGCACTTCTGCATTACTTTGGCATTTTTGTTTAAAATATAGTATAATAAAAAATGAATCGTTACATTTGCTACAAAATTGATTATTTTATCTGATGTCTAAAATATTTATGTTTAATTAATTTAATATCTTACTTTGATCGGGCAACGTACATCTCGATTTTTGTAACCAATTAACAAAAATAACATGGTTGCATCTATCTTGTCACATATATCTAATATATCAAATGATCTGAGGTTAACGCAATCAATAAAATGTTCTTTGCACTTAATTACTTCAACTGACAACTATAAAAAGTAACTATCATATTTTTTTATAATAAAAAAAGAGTACTTTGAAATAAAAATATTCGTCGTATAATTACTATTTTAAATTGTTAAAATATTTACACGATAAATCATAAAAGGTATACGAGTACTAAAGTTAATGTGGAAATATTGTACGTCATAATATTGCTTTACATCCATAAAAAAAGAATTTAAAAAAGAACTATTCGCATTCCACTTATGGATAGGTATACGCATTTCATGTCTTATAGGGTTCATATTATTAACATTTAATACCTGTAAATTATATAATAATATGAAGTTGCTAAAAATAAATATTTTTAATTTTATAACACTTACTTGAAGAAAAACAAATGACACAGAAATTACCGTCAAGAATAAAATAGTTTGTTTGTAAACCATACTAATACCTGCATGAAAGGAATACCTTAACAAAATACTATACTACTAGATTCACATTTGAAGACTAATTGTTCATTATGATATAATATAAGTGAATTATTTTTATGGGACTCGGATATATAAAATTTAACCATTTACTGATGTATTCTAAATGTTCACATTTAAAATCCTCAAGGTTTCAATTATAAAAGAATTAACCATCTACCATTGTTCTCCTAATTTTTACATTTATCATTAAAAAGCGAAAATGGCTACTATTGAGTTTTTAATTTTAAATTAAATTAAAGTCGAATCAGATAAATATTATATAAAGTTGGATTTAAATATTTTAAAAATACTTTGCTTCTAGTTTCTTGTAAATTGATTTTGATTGGTCTAAAATTTAAAATTAGTCTTTTTGGACAACGTTAATATTAACGTTAAAAATGTTTAAAAACGATAGCACAGTGGAGTCGCGGCACAATGTGGATGTGGCATAGTTAAGACAAGTATAGATGTGATAGTGATTAAAATCACTATCATAAGAAATGNATTGATTGGTCTAAAATTTAAAATTAGTCTTTTTGGACAACGTTAATATTAACGTTAAAAATGTTTAAAAACGATAGCACAATGGAGTCGCGGCACAATGTGGATGTGGCATAGTTAAGACAAGTATAGATGTGATAGTGATTAAAATCACTATCATAAGAAATGCTTCAATGCAAATCTATAGATGGTGTTTAATTTTAATAAATTAGTGGATTATTCCAAAAGCAAAATTAACTACCATTTCCTTCATTATTTCTGATTAGTAGTTTTTTTTATTAAGAAATATAATATATGTATAAATATTTATTAAATAATAGCAATTAAATTAGTATGAGATGGATATTTAATAATTTAGTATTGTAATTTTGTCGGTGAATTTATAAAAAATTATAAAGTAGTTATTATTTTTATGGCAAACTTGTATTAAAAGATTAGAAAAAAGTTCGATTCATGTAAATTTATAAAAATTGATGGACTAATTACTATGACAAACCCTTGTATGAGAATTTTAAAATAAATAAAAAAAAAAGTTGAACACAAAAATATCATGTTTTTTAACTACGGCAGCTACTTGCAAGTAGAAGATAAGTCGTCGGGACAAATTTTTTTTTTTAATTATTAATACATATCATAAGCTTTAATTTGACATATGTTTAAACGATGCAGTATTTCTGAAATATTTTCAAAAGTTAAGTTGACTTTTGTAAAAAAAATTTTTTCTTGAATCCCCCCCGTGAGTAGATAAAGGGTCGGATAATCAAAAAATTTATATTAAAAGAAAGGGAACTATCTAAAGTTTTAATATAAAAAATATTATTTTAATTCATTCATTTTTCAATAAGTTATGGCAATTTTTAGAAAAAAAAGTGAAAAAAATATTAAAATTTACGGAGAACGAGGGAAAAAGTTGTATTTTTTGAGAGTAATGTCTTCAACTAGATGCAATTTGTGATCTTTTGACGTATCGTTGAGAGTAATTGGTCCATTGAGAGCTGAATAAAAGTGTTAACAGTTTGACCTATTGACTGGAGCCCTCTGTGTTTTATCCAAAGAAGATTTATATATTTTTGATACGTATTATATATTTACTGTTTTGAGAATAAGACTGAAGTAATTTGTTATTTTATTTACTATTTAAATGCGTGTTCATTTTTATATTCAGAAACTTCTATTGTTAGGTAAACATTTGCAAAATAATTTAGAATAGAAAATTTGTAATTATATGATTTTAATCTATCTGTAAATCCAACGGTGATATCATTATTAACTGTGATTGTGGTAGTGGTAACATAGGTTTCTTTCTGCTAATAAAATACGTAACACAGTGAATAAAATTTTTAATTATCAACCGTGATTAAAATAAAAATGAAAAGTCGATCAAAGTATAATTAGTGTATTTATTTTAGCGGTGCTCATAATATAGATTATTTACCGCTGTCAGAGTAAAAACTATATTAAGTAAACTAATCTTATTTTTTAAGAGAAACAATTCGTAAAAAAATATTAAGATTTAACTAAAGAGTAAGTTTTGTTTTAAGCTACCAAATTCTTATTAACAATAATATATATATAAATATAAATTTAACTGAAAATTAATTTTCAATTTAAAATATTTTCAATTACCTGTAAGAATTATTAGAAAATTTTAATTGAAAATTTTTTTCACTCCTGATGCTTAAAACTCAGTTCTATTTTATAGTAGAAAAATTATATTTTATAACTATTAAATTCATCATTAAAATATTCTAGTATTAAGCTTATAAAAAAAAACTTTCTTAAAATGTTAAATATAAATGTCAAAGATAATTAATTTAAAATACTTTTCAAAAATTAAAGAAACATAACAAAAAAAACTTATATGGATAATACATAAGTATTATTAAAGCTTATTAAACTTGAATTAAAACTAAATACAAATACTATTTGTAATTATTAGTCTGATGATTATACACTGTAATATTTGAAACTTGCATTATTAATGTACCTAAATTCTCATTGTGTAATTTTTCGTTAGCTACTATAAACTAAAATATCTCACAGGCTTATTATTTTAACAAATTTCTTTCCATACATTCGACAGTATTAAAATATAAATAAGATAAAATATTTGTGAATATTATAATGAATTACAAATTTATTATTTTATTTTTGACACTTATATTTATTTCATTTCCTTATATACAAGTGTCAAACTTTTGAATATTCAACTATACTGCAGTTTTATCAGATGGATATAAGTGTTTTATTCATTTGATTTACTGAATATAATGAGGAAGAAATCGAAAAATACAATTTGCCAATAGTCACAATACAAGAAACTTGTTGGCTAGAAAATCGCAATGTTCAGTCTAGTAACTATTAGCAACGAGACTAACTACCAAATAAGAAAAACTCACTATGGATTTTTAATATTAAATGAATATTTAAAGTTTGGTTGGATTTACTGTTAAAATAAAATAATTACAAAAAGAAAAGTTTTAATGTTTTTGGATACACATCGGTCGAATATGCTGTCAAGAAAATGTGTTGTTGATTATCCATGTTATCGTTGTGTTACATCGAGTTGTTGTCGGTCTTCTCTCTATGTCAGCATTGTCGTCGCCATCTTAATGCTTCTTCTGCTATAAGCTCTATGGCGTTTGCGAGCCTATAGTTTTGTATTCGTTTTACTGTAAAAAGAAAATATCACCTTTGCAATTGTCGTACCTGTGCGCTCAGTTTATCGCCGTTGGGTCTATATATTTTCTGAGATACATCATAATACCGTTCACAGCATATTGTACATATTGGTCAGCTACTTGCATTCGATTTCATTTGATCCTTTCAATATTTAACATTATTATCAGCCGTTTCATTTAGCCGATAAGTATAATGCTTGTTCATCTATCTTTCTAAAACTCACTTGTATAATTTATTATTTGTTTATATCATCGTCTTAATGGCATTAGTAAGTGTAATTGTTTGAATATAAAATTCATTCTACATTCAGACATACAGTCCACTCACCTTAATCATTATCCTCGATATAGTTAAAGACTTAAGACAAAACAAAACGTTAACGAAACCGCGTGAATACCACCGGGCGCTGCGTTCATACAAATGTTTAAAATATTATTGTATATTTATTAATATGTCAAGAAAAATATAACTTTGTTAATTATATAAAATTATAATTATATTACAAATATTTCTATAAAACTAAAAGTATTAAACATATTTAACTCGTAAAGCAACAAATATTTACTAAAAAATTGCTAATACGCATTTCGTATATTATTACCGGATTAGTAACATAAGCTATAATTTCGCATATGTTTTAAGGACCCAGTATTTCGGAAACATTTTTGAAGTTTAAAAAAATGATATCAAATGAAAGGGAAATATGTAAGGTTTCTATATAAAGTTAAAGCAGTTTAAAAAAAAAGGTGAAAAAAATGTCAAAATTTACAAATTTTAAAATCGAAATTTTTTAGGAGATTTGCCCCATTTACAGAGAACGAGAGAAATTTTTTTAATTTTTGAGGGCAATGTTTTCAACTAGATACGATTTGTGATTTTTTGAATTATCGTTAAAGAAAATCGGTCTATTAAAAGCTGAGTAAAAGTAGTGACAGAAACAAAAAAAAAAAATAAAAACATCATGGTAAAAAAAAACCTTTTCAGCTTCGCATCGAAGCTAAAACATACAATCTATATAAAATATACAATAAGTTCAATCAAATAAGAGTTGAAAAATGTAGCGACTGTATTAAAAAAAAAAACATCACAGTAAAATATTACTTTCTAAGCTTCGCATCGAAGCTAAAAATTCAACTATGAATCGATTAACATCTACTTAAACTTATTGGACATGACCAATGCGAAAATAAGTTTACAATAATTATGCACAATGATTAACACATTTTTAGCTTCGATGCGATGCTGAGAATGTATTAATTTTACTATGATGTGTTTTTTTTTTTTTTATGTCTGTTGCCACTTTTTCTCAGCTCTCACTGGACCAATTTCTTTCAATAATACGTCAAAAGATCACAAATCGTATCTAGTTGAAGACATTACCCTTACAAATTGAAAAAAATTCCCTCGTTCCCCGAAAATGGGGGAAATATCCAAAAAAAAATACAAATTTAAAAATCGGTAAATTTTGTCATTTTTTTCACTTTTTTTTCTTAAAACTTCCATAACTTTTTGAAAAATAAACAAATCAACATAATTTTTTTTTCGACTAAAACCTTAGATATTTCTCTTTCGTTTGATATCATTTATTCTTTTGAAAATCTAACACTTGACCTGCTCATTGGGGGGGATTTAAAATAGCAACTTTTTTACAAAAACTAACTTTTTCAACATAATTTTTGAAAATGTTCCGGAAATACTGCGTCCTTAAAACATATATCAAACTAAAGCTTATTTTATGTACTATAAAATAAAAAAAAAAATTTGTCCCGACAATTTATTTTCTGCATGTAAACGGCTGTCGTAGTTAAAAAAACGCTATTTTTGTGTTAAAATTTTCGATTTTATATTTTTAATTTTCAACTTAAAAATGCTATAACTTTTCGAAAAATGTAATTATCAGCACAAATTTTTTTTTCTAAATACATTATAAGTACATTTGACATACTTTTTATTAAAATTGGACAATTTCCCCATGTATAGGGGGCGTTCAAAACTTGAAATATTGTAATAAAAATAGATCTTTTTCAACTTAACATTTGAAAGTGTTCCGGAAATACTGCGTCCTTTAAACATATATAAAATTAAAGCTTATTTTATGTACTATTAAATGAAAAAAAAAATTTGTCCTGACGACCTATCTACTATGTGAAAATTGCTGTCAAAATTAAAAAAAATATATAATATTTGCGATAAAAATCACCTTCTATAAGGATGTTTTTTGTACTTAAAACTGCCATATCTTTTTCAAATATTAACAAATCAAAATAATATTTTTTTATATTGAAACCTTAGGTAATTTCCTTTCGTTTGATATCATTTTTTTTTTGAAAATCTAACACTTGACCTGCTCATTGGGGGGGATTTAAAATAGCAACTTTTTTACAAAAACTAACTTTTTCAACTTTTGAAAATGTTCCGGAAATACTGCGTCCTTTAAACATATATCAAATTTAAGCTTCTTTTATGTACTATAAAATGAAAAAAAAATTTGTCCCGTCGATCTATCTTCTATGCGCAAATGGCTACGGTATTCAAAAATATGCTATTTTTCTATTAAAATTCTAGGTTTTCTATTTTATTTTATTTTAAAATATCTTATTAGGAGAATATATTGACTTTCATGAATATTATGTAATTTAATTGACATAGAATAAAGTTCATAAGACATAAGAAATTAAACTTATTAAATTTTTTTTACTTTTTTAAAGTCGAAAAAGTAATTTTTAATTTTGAGTTAGCTTAAATAGCCAATTTTTTAGCTTCGATGTGAATTTTTTATATGTAAATACTAATTTTTAATTATATTAAAACTTAGAAGTGATATTCTAATTGCAGTCTAATTGAAGTCTAATTGCAGATTTGAAAACATCGCGAAAAATTGATTTAGAATGGTATATTTTTGTTACTAATGAAAGTTTCTTGTAGTTTTGTGCATTTATTTATAGTAACAAACAGTTTTTATTGAAATTTATTGTATCAAGCCCTTTAAAATTTTATACACGTAAAAATAAAGCAAAATACAACTTCTTTATTATTTTTATAATTTCTCTGTTTTAATTACAATATTAAATTATTGAATATCAATTTCATACTAAATTTAATAATTATAATTAGTATTTATTCATTTATTATATTTTAAAATCAAAGAACTACTAATTACGATATAATCAAAGAAATAAGAGTTGATGTTGCTTTTGGAATAATCCACCAATTTCTCTAAATGAAACACTATCTACAGATTTGCATCGAAGCGTTTCTTATGATAGTGATTTTAATCACTGTCAGATATCATCTATACTTGTCCCATCTATGCCTTGTCCACACTGTGCCACGACCCCACTGTACTACCGTTTTTTTTTTTAATTAAAATTTAATTTGCATGAATTCTTTTGTTGAATAAAAAAATTCCATTTTTTCCGTTTGAAAATCTGAATAGCCATTTCATAAAATTTACTTCATTTTTATTTAAACCTTAACTGCTGAACAATTAAAGAATAATAATTTAAGATGTGACCAAACTAAACTCAAATATATTGGTATAGGATATACTGCAAATATTATTTTATTAACATTATTGTTAATTGATGTTGTGTATAATTATTATTATTAATTTAAACAAGATAAATACTAAAATAAATAAATACTAGTTTCATTATGATCCAATATAGTATTGACCGGAAAGTAATTAAAATCCCAAAATAATTCTATACGTATATTTTTGAAGAATGTTCCACTTAATTCATCTAAACCTATAATTTGAATAGATAGCCCAACTTATTTTTGGGGAAGGGCGCATTCAATGAGGATGCATTAGATGCATGTGATTTAGGTAGCAGATTTTTGGACAGTATAGGAGAAAACGTTACTTTTAGCAATGAAATATGTTAATTCGAAAGAACATGGAAGAACATTTTTCTTGCTTGACATATCGCAAGATGGCTGTACCTTGAAAATGTCGTTTCAAGATGAAAGTTTCAAAGTTTCAACCTGTCATAAAAGTTTGTGTGTATTACTTTATTTTCAGAATTTTTATTAGGTTCAAGTCAAATTTTAAACACGTTACATACATGTTTAGATAGACAATAATAATTATTATTCTTTATCTAAATAAAGATTGAAATCTTTATATAATTACGTTAAAATGCATAATATCAAAAATTTCGTTATTTGGTCTTCTTGCGCGTAGCGCCACATACAACATTACAATAATAACACAATAATTATATTGTTGACGATTTAAATCATGCCCTTGAGCAGTATTTAAAAATAAAAAAACTAATTTGAAAAAATAAAAAATCACACTTTATTTAATTGCCTATACAGAACGTCGTTTGAATTTACATCATCCTAAAAAATCAAATTGGTAATATTTCGCCGTCTATATAGGCAAATAGCTATCTTACCTTATGATTATTTCATCTACCTTACGTATTGGTTGGGAGCTCTGAGATTGGGTTGAAAAAACTTTTCTAATTTAGTTACATGTACACTGCAATCCATGACAACATACTATTATCGAAGGGGTCGTCCTGTAATTGAATTCGTGACTGTCTTTTGGTTGCAGGCAAGGATATAATCAATACGGATTACTAGACAGGGCTCTATATGTATATACCTACGGATCAAAAACTACACGAAAAGAAGGAAAAATGCCCAAATGTCAGTAAATAACGGCTCCAGACTTAATGTGTCGGGGGGTTACCACCATCTTCGCCTTTGAATGACTCACCAGAACACTTAAATGGCATCTTTTGTACACTGATATATGTGCAAGTTGCAACGAAATGGTATTAGATTTCGTATTAATGTCACGATATTTCATAAAAACATCTTCTTTCTAAGACAATGTATAAAAATTTACAAAAATATAAAATAAGAATTCTTTTGAATATACTTTAATGCATTTAATTGTCGTATTTGGTTTATATTTTAATATTACTAATATATACACATATTACTGTATATTTATTATAGATGAACGAAACATTTACAATGTATAGTCACGAAAAACTAATTGCAATTAATACATTTTTTTGAAGTACTTATTTAACAAAATTTCATTTCGTGTGTTTTTATAATATTTTTAATACAAAAATAAAAATTTCTAAATTTATTGGCGCATAAAATCATTAAGTCTGATATATTATCTTAAAAATCTACTAAAATTTTTAAAATGTTAAATTTTTATAAACATTTTTAAACCTCTGTAAATATATTGTGCAACAAAGAAAATCATAATTTACTCAATCAAATATTACAGTTGAAGTTTTAATTGATACACATGCAGTTTCAAATTATACATATAACATAATAAAAAACTGTAGCACAGTGGGGTCGCGACACAGTGTGGACGTGGCATAGTTTGGACAAGTATAATGATATCTGACAGTGCATAAAATCACTATAAAAAGAAACGCTTCAATGAAAATCTGTAGATGGTGTTTAATTTTAATAAATTTGTGAATTATTCCAAAAACAAAATGAACTCCTAATTCTTTATTTATATCCTAATTACAAGTACTAAGATATGTTAGTGTAATATACAAATATATATTAAAAGATTTGTTTAAGTTCGACAGATATATACACACAGAAAATAGGTCTCGAGAACAAAGTTTTTTACTTATAGTACCTAATACAAGCTTTAATTTAACATATTTTTAAAAGACGCAGGAATTCCGGAACATTTTCAAAAATTGAAAAAGTTTTACTTTTTACTCAAATATTTCAAGATTTGAACGCCTTTGTATAAAGGAAAATGGTCTGATTAAAAAAAAAATTTCGGATGAAAGGTGTGTATATAAATTATTAAAAAAATATCAAAATTTACCAACTTTAAAAATTGTAATTTTTTTTGGAGATTTCTCCTATTTACAGGGAATGAAGAAAATTTTTAAAATTTTTAAGAGCAATGTCTTCAACTGAATACAATTTGTGATCATTTGACATATCGTTGAATGAAATCGGTCCGATGTGAGCTGAATAAACGTGGAAAAAATTCGTTAATTTTTAAAAAAGTAATAGCAGTTTTTATAAATTAAATTATTAATAAATTAATGTAAAAATGGCGAAATTTACTTAGTTTAAAAATTGTAATTTTTTGAGGGTAATGTCTTCAATCAGATACAAATTCGTTGAAAAAAGTTGGTCAATAAAGAGTTGAGAAAATAATTAACAGCCACAAAAAAAAAAATAATAAAAATAATACAATCATTTTAATATGAATAATAAATTTCTAATCACGAGGGGAGACCACAGTGTTAGGGTCTTGGCTATTCATTAAAATTATTTAATCTAAATAAGATAAAAATCATATAAGCTAAAAATATTTTTCAAACTTGAATAAAATTAAAAAAAATATATTCATTGCCACAGGCATGTCCAAACCTCGTACCTCAAGCGTAAAAGACTCAAATGTTACCGACACGGTCACCGTACATCGCATATGTTAGTAGATAAAAATAGTAATTTAAGCTAATTCGAAATTTCATAGTTATCTTGCAACTTATAAAAAGCAATAAAATTTATATTTATATTCTATGTAAATCAAATTTAGAAATAAATTTTTAAATATTTATGTAAATCAGTGTACTCCCCTTGTAAGACAATTAAAATAAAATAAAATACAAGAACGAGAATTTTGAGAAAAAACACAAAAATAGCATATTTTTGTAATTTATTATGGTAGCCATTTTCACCATAAAAACAATCTATAATTTTAAGTTTTATATTAATATATATAACATAAGTTCTATTTTAAGATATATAAAAAAGTGTCAGTATTTCCGTAATATTTTTAAAAGTTATTTTTTTTGGAAAAGTTGCCATTTTAATACCACTTCTGTGGGGAGGATAAAGGTCAAATTTTTACAAAAATATATCAAATGTCTAAGGTATCTATAAAAAAAATATGTTGCATTATTCATTTTTAAACATATATGACAGTTTGAAAATTACCGACTTTTAAAATTGTAATATTTTTGGGGATATCCTCCTTTTACGGTGAACGAGGGAATTTTTTTTCAATTGAGAGTAATGTATTCGACTATATACAATTTGTATATTTTTGACGATCGTTGAAAAAAATCTGTTCGGTGAGAGCTATGAAAAAGTGGTAAATTTTAAATAAATTAAAATACATTGTATTCAAATAGCTTAAACCACCACATTTTCAGATTCAATTAAAAAAAAAGTATTTCACACTCACGGGATTACTGGATTTCACTATGATAATAGAGTTTAATTTTTTACAATCAAACGATTAGAACATATTCGTATTAATATATGAATTATTCATGATATTTAAATAACATGCTTTGCGATTGTTAATTATATTTCTGATAATTTCAAGTAACTTTAGACATTTTAAGAACGATGATCATTATAGTATTAGATAAATTTCTTAAATTTCTTCGTACGACAAAGTAGTTCAGTAGTTCTCCAGACATTTAAAAAATAATACGACATAATATAGCTTATTGAGTATATAAACATTTTGCTCAGAATGAGTGTTATTAGATAATAAAAGCATACAATTTTTCTCTAATTCAGATTTGATTTTTCGTGTGGCAGCATTTAAGCACAAAATTTACTTAAAATAGATAAATGTATATAAATGAAAATTTCCAATAATTTTATTTTTTATTAATTTTTCAGATTAAAATGCAATTAAATTTATAATTAGAGAGAACAAAGATATGCTAAATAAATATCTAACAATAACTCGTTAGTTTATGAAAATAATTTTCATTCTAATTATTAAAATGATAATAATTATGGTGAAAATTATACGAGACTTTTTGAGCGTTTGATCAAACTAACAATCGTATTTCAAATTAAATTATATTTGTAAACCCACTAAACTTTTAATGGTAGACGGTAATGCCAGATGAGATATTATTATGCTTAACGTCAAAATCAAATCCTTTGGAATGTGTAAAAGAGAAAAATATATTTTCATAATTCTCGTTGGCTTGGTTGACATTCTTGAAATTTGATGTTTAAATGTGAAATGATTTTTTAATTTTAATAATAATCGTATAAACTGGTATCTACGTAATAATTCATTTAAGTGCACTCGTTCGTGATGAGAATATTATCTATTATTAATTGAAAAGATAGCGTTTTGGAAATATAGTTAATGGTATACAACAATTTGTTGATATTAAATTTTAAAAATTTTATTCCCATGCTATATTTTAAACGCAATTTGTTTTTTTTTTTTTTTGTAGAAGTTGTACTTCCAACAATAAATTACAAGCTTAGTGTAACATGTATTTTTAAGTTATAATTTAATAATTAATCGCAAGAAAGAATAGTTATTGTTTTATTTATTAGCTAAGTGGTATAAATGACGGAAAAGACAAATTGAGGTAGTTGGTTATAGTCTATTAAAATACATAACATAATACATCCGAGAGCCAGCTAAAAAAGATGACATTGCACATTAACTTTGACTACACAAAGATTAATCATTTTCTACCATCACTGTTTTGTCTTCAGCTGTTATATGTCTCGTTTAAATATCAATATCACAAACCATATATCTTCATGCAATTTTAATTTGCATTCTAAAAATGGAATCCAGTAACTTATTTTATTATTTGTATAAGCAAAATAATACAAATAATTTCTAAGAATAAAAAAACATTACACAAGAAAAAAATTGTTAATAATTAATGTTATTATAGTATAATGCAAATATTTTACTGAGTAGTAATGGACTGAATGTCGAAAGCTTTATTATTTTTATTTTCAAACATAAATATATTTTTTATTTTATGATATTGGTTAGATGATTTCATAAAATTAAAGTACGATGGCCCTTCAAAAATCCTTTTATATAGCCCTTTGAACTGTTATTTTTTTTTTTGCAAATTGTTGTTTGTGTTCCGACGATATGAACCGCAACAGAAAAGGGTGGCATTGGTAGTATTTTTCAATAAAAACTCATTATAGACAGTTTAACCGTTGGGATCGCACATAATATTCAGGACATCTATTACTAATGAGGTGCCGTATGAAGGGATGAAATTTATAAGAAAAAACTATGTGAGAGCGTAACATGCACTTTTAGATAAACACATGAAAAAATTGCTATTTCATTGTTATGAATGAGTCTTTTAAAATAATTAATAGCCGAATAAAATTATAGAAATTCCTAAGTTATGATTAATGAAATATTTAAAGACAACACAAGTATATTATTACAAATCATATTTAGTCAGCTATTTAATACATGCGATCACATATCATATGGTAGTACACACTAAAATTTATCAATAATTAATTTATTTATTGCTTTCAGCGCAATAATATTCAATTAATAACAGTAATACATTTATTTAGACATAAAAAAAGTTTATTATTTTAAATTACTTGAAAAATAAAACTAAAATTAAACCTACCATACGCATTTATCTCATAACAGTCACATAGTAATTCTTTCATTTAAAACAATATTAGTATAATAAAATTTATTTTCGTACTTCCATTTTGTTTACTGTTTTATAATAAATTGTAAGGTTTATTATTGTAATATTCAAAAGCGCAATACAATTAATTTAAAAATAATAATGACTTTTAACTTAGTTTTTAAATTTGATTAAGCATAGCACTTCATTAACATGGGCGTTCTCGCGGGGGAGGATAGAACGTCGCCACGTTGAAAATAAATATGTAATAAAGATGTATTTTGAATGGGTTAGTAAAATAATGTCTTATGCATTTCTCCTTCCAAGACACGGATGTAAATGTCATAAAAAAATCCTTCACTTTATTGTTCAATGTATTCATTCAAGATATTATTTTTCACTTATTATCATTATCGTTTATTTTTGTACTTGATTCGCTATAATAGAGAGAACATGTAATATAAGTTCAGAAATTTCTTAAATATCATTATTATATATTTTTTTAACTCATTTTATTTTCATTAGAGTGCTAACCCGCATTACATAGATATTTTTAGTTGATTTAGTCAACACAGAAAAATATTTTACTGTATACAAAGGAGAGATTATTAAAGTGCGATGCACATATATTATGCAATAGTTGTATTTTTATTTGGTTTTTAATTATAAAAAATATATACTGTCGTTCGATTAAAATAAAAATACTCTTATTAATAACAATAGAGATTTCAAAACTGGCGGTGTACGTTATCATGATTGTTATAAATAAAATATAATCTCAAAGGCAAAATCCCGTTTTTTTGCGCTTCAGTTGTAATGTTGAATTTCGATTATTTTCATTTGGAGCGGCCACCCGAAATTGTATAGGATAGGTAAAGCCTATTATTACATTATTACTGGAGGAGTTTCTGAATCGAATGAGAGAGCCACTAACCCCGAAAACGTATGCGTCACCATTCACCACCCTTACGTCATCGTGGCCTTCCCGCCGACCAGCGTCTAATCCGTCTGCGTTCACCGCGAATTGGACCCGCCGAAATTGCATGCGGTGACCACCGCCGACGAACCGTGACGGCATTGGCCTTCGCCGCACAGTAGTGCAACATGAGTCATCGCACCGAGTTTCGGTCGTTCCACGGCTAGGTAGCGCTTCTCTTACCGGTCGATTTCTGCATCAATTACAACGGTGGCGGTGCCCGTGCTCCGTCGTACATGATCGTCGACGGCTCACAATGCGGCATTGCTCGTTCGTTGACTCATCGGTACATCACTCCTAGTGGCGCGACGCTCCGGTTACCGAGAACTGCCGTCGGGTATTTTGGTAGCTTTTTTTTGTATTTTTGTTTCTGTTTCAAAGTTATTATTACAATTAAACCGTTTATAACATTTTGAGTTACAGCCGTGTTGACAAAACAATGTATACGATTATAGTTAAATAGTGTAAATTTAATAATCTCGTAGTTGCTGTTCTAGTTAGTGCATTTGTTTGGTTTGTTTTCAACACTACCGTTATCAATTGACTACAATAATAAAGGCCGGATATTATCGTACTGAATCCAAGGTGAGTTATCATAAAAAAACTATTTATCATGTTCGA